CACTTCTAGTTGTGGCAAGTGAAACAAAAGAGAGTGCATGATTATACTGCTGGATATTCTCTTTGAAGTGCCTTGCATGTTTGCCATCAGAGGCCATCAGTCTTGCTAGCTCTGGTGGCACTGGCAAGAAATCAGGGAGCTGTATTTGACCACATAGACAGCATTTTGTGAATATTGGCTCTGCAATGGTCAAGTGTCCTGCATGTTCTTTAATGAAGTGTAAAGCAAGACAGAAGGCACAGGGCCTATCCATCCTACCCAGGTAAATCAATTTGTGGCAATTGCAAGCAGCCTTTTCTGCATACCACTGCACTTCATGTGGTTGCCATGCACAGGGGACTTGTGACACTTGTATTGCATTTTGTGCCTCCAGTTCTCTTTGCTGCCTTTGTTCTTCCTCAATTACTTCATTCTGCCCTTGCTCATTTTGCCCTCCAAGTCCCAGATCATTTCCTTCTTAATGTGGTAGCTGGAGCTCTTCCAGCTGCAGTTCCACAAAGTCTAGATGACCAAAAGGCATTCCAAAATCATTATCCCTGCAGGCTTGCTGTGAGGCAGACTGATTTTGATGCTGCTGAGAAGCCCTTTCAGCAAGACATGGCTGATGAGATAATGTTTGCATAGGAGGAATGAGTGATGATATAGGGACTGCATTGACAGTAGCAAGATTTGTGGCAGCAGGTCCAAATGGCCTTTGAAGTAATGGGTCCAGTCTCTGGTGCTTCAAGTTAGCACTCTGATGGCTAAATACTGGCTGTGGAATGGGGGTGCAATCATAGGGCAAGCAGGCATGGTGTTCACTTGGTGATGTCAAGTTTTCTTCACATCTTGCATGGTCTTCACTTCTCTGTAAAGAGCAGGGTGTTGTAGGCTCCGACCTACACCAATTAAGTTCCCTTTAAGCATACCCTGCAATCCCCTTCAAATCCTGATTCACTTACATGATAATATGCTTTGTGTAACAGTTCACGTTTTTGTTTGTTTTGTTCAATAAGTGTGTCTTGTGTTCTATAGTCAAATAAAATACCAATTAATTTCCAAGGGTCAACCAACATTCAACAATTACACACTTTATTTTTCCACAGTGGCAGCAGTAACAACATGAATAATTAATTATTTGTGTTGTATGGGTCCGGATACTATCAATTATTGCTCTGCTTCCTTCTTCCCCACATAACCCTAACCCTAACCCCTACCCCACCCTAACCTTAACCAACCCTAACCTGCTAGATGGGATCCTAACCAGTACCCTAACACTACCCAGGGAAGGAATTGCCTTTTTCGAAAATTACGGAGGTAAACTGCCCCCGTCCGCGCGAATACGCATAAAGCTCTTTCCTTTTTAGGGAATTATGGACGCAGTTTGCCTCCGCTGCGCGCGTCCTACACCTACATGCTACTCATCTTGTGTGCGCTCCGCCCAAAGGGAATTGTCGGGCGAAGCAGCCGAGAGCGAATGCTGAAGAGCGATGGGGCAGACTTGTATCCCTCTTGTGTTCATATATTTGTAGACCGTTGACAGTGGAGGGGCAAGGTGTGGTGGACATTAGAAGAGCTGCATTCCAGCCAGTGCAGCACCGAAGGACGGGCAAAATAAAGGTTTATAACAAAGCAGTATGGTGGACGTTCAGGATAAGAAAGCAAACGCAGTAGGAATCATGAAACACGAGTGATTTACTCACTGCGTAATTGAATAAGGTGCGTGTTCACTTGTTCCAGGTACATCACGTGTTGTCGTGCTTCGGACACATTAGGGGACGGCCTGGCTTGGGTCAGCGCGGCGCGTATGTATTCTCGCCGCCTGCCCGACTAGACCAAGCGCAATGCATAGGATGAGGTCATTATCAGGCTGTATACTGGTTCGAAACTGAATCTGAATGTGCTGGACACTCTCTTCAGCGTCACTGGACACCACCTTTGTTCACTCTCCGTTCGTCTGCGGTTTCTTACCCGGCAATAGAGGGGCCGTCTCTCCCATCTGTGCCTCTCTCTGTACCTCCCCGCCTGGCCCCAGCTCGCTCTTAGGCAGACCATACCTCCCCCCCAGATCACCGATAGTGGAATCCATGCTCTCCTTTGCCCTGATCGCAGCCTCGATCCTCAGTACCGTCGTCTGGAATGAGCCCATCGTCAAGCCCCAGGGCGCACGGGTAGAGGACTCATAGTTTGGCGGAAGGCGTTCTTCGTACAGCCAGACTTTGAGGTCCGAGATCGATCCGCCCATGATACGGATGAGGGTTGCGCAGCTGAACTTGGTTTAGCGCGGTACTGTGGTCTTTGGGGAGGAGAAAAACGCACTTGGAGCTAGCGAAGAGCTTGTGGAAGGTGCTGAGCGTGAACTGGCCGTTCTTTCGCCTACTGTCTGTACGCCGGATCTCGCTATACCGTGCTAAGTCGTCCACTGTCACTTTATCTCCATGGACACAGTCAAAGAACCCGTCTACAAGGTCTGGGCAGGGCTTGCCCTGATCGCCCCCGGGGGAAAGGAACGTATCGTGTCGGAAAAGAGAGGCGTCGTGTTCTATTCCGTTGTGGACAGCGATATCATTTAGATCGAGCGTGCCGTATGTGTAGGACCTGCCGAGGAGGCGGGCCATGTACAGCGGCACGTAGAGACAGAAGGTGGGGGAGAAGTTGTACGTCTCCCTGATCTTGCGGTTCAGCACGGTGAAGGGGATGTTCTTCCCGTCGCGGGGGAGAATACCTGAATATATGCGGTCAGGTGGGGCAGGGGAAGATGAGAACAAGAAGGCCGACCATGATTCGCCATCGCGTTCAGCGCCGGGCAGGGAGAACGACTGTCACCCTCGACCGGGGGGTGCCATTCGGGCCAGTTGCCACCGTGTCCCAGCTTCCCAGGGGCGATGAGCTTTCCCTTGCGCTTTGGGAAGCTGATGGTGTTGAGCAAGACGAGGGTGGTGTCCCAAGTGAAGATGTAGGTCAATGTGAGGGTGTGCCAGACGGTGTCTGCCGTGCTGAAGAGGATGCGGGAGACGACGTTGAGGAGTAGGTTGACCATGGTGGATGAGAAGAGAGGACTGGAGGGCGTCGATGAGGGTTCACGGCGGGGTAATAAGTCGGCGTCTCTGACCCAGATCCAGTGGCGGGATTGCCTCGAACGAGACACGGCGAATTCGTCTGGCCGATCATGAGTCTGGGTCTCCCGCTTTGCCCTTTCTAGGAAGGTCATTTTCCCAAATGATGGGCGATACTGAGGCAATCATGTGCTCAAATCCGTTCCAGTGGAGAAATCTTGACTTCCTGGCACCGCAGAACACTTGTCAAGGGATAACCTTGCATGGCACGTGGAGAGAACCCATTTATCTCCGCCCGTAAACCCTGCATGCTTGTTCGACACAAAGACAAGGGATATGTCTCATCCCACCTCTCCCTGTCCGATACCCTCATTCTTAATCTCTTCCAACGGAAAAGGGCGCACCGGGAAGGGGTCTGCAGTAGTCGTATTATCGATAATGAAGAAGGTACACCGCCTTCACCTTCTGCTCGGGGAAGCGCTGCACCCAATTCCCGGTTTTCCCGTCGAATTAACCGGATGGACACAACTTCCCTTGGAATCAAGCTTCTTCCCAAGTATGGCATATACGCTTATTCAGCAACCATCTGCTGCCTCTTCAAATCAGGCAAACAGTGCCCAGCCTTCGGGATTCCTCAGCTGGGGCGGGGGCCAGACCTCCAGCGAGTGTTCTCGTCTTGAGCGAATGACCAACATCGGCGCTATCACGGCAGATCCGCGAACAGGCGGGTAACGCCATCTCTTACCAAGCAGACTATAGCGCATATCGCGACCATCAATGCTACACGTGTACTAGTGCAAGATAGCCTGATCAAACAGCCACCGGCATTAATTGATTTGCGAACGTGAAGATGGCGAGTCTCTGCGGTTGATCCCACGCACAGGTGGGGATTAAAGAGCTGTCCTTCCATGGCTCTTGCTGTTTGCGGTGCTCTTTAACATGGATGGTCTCCCCCGGAACGCAAGGACTATAGCACTCAACCTTTGCACTGCTCAAACATGAATTTTGCTTTGGCGCTGAAATTCTTCTGTCCAGACCACATGCTCGAGGTGGCACCACCGGAACAGTCTGATGGACGAGAACGGAAAAGAAAACGACTGGAGTTGGGACGACCATCCAGGCACTGGGGTGGTTCCTGCTTCGCACCCTCTCTCTGGTGTTATGTTACAAGATTGCTGCTACCACACATAGACTGGGGTGTGCAGGAACAACAACCCGCTTCTGGATGACTGCAGTACGACGCGATAAATGCACAATCATAGATCATCCTCTGCAGAAAGGGTCACCTGTGTGGGGCGCAACTCATGCACAATATTAATGCCGACGAATTGGTGTAAATCGGACGGTGCGATTGGTCAACGTAATCATCATTATGGACCGAAATAGGCCCGTCTCGTATACGTGCGTGTATGTTGGTCATTTTAGGAAGCATCACTGATTTCCCCCTCACTCCATAGCTCAATCACCATTCACTTGCGCCTTCTTCCACCCAGGGAGGAGTGCCGCCCTCTCCCCAATTCCCTCGGTCTTGGCATCGCGCTCGCCCGTAGGCAACCCATACCTGCCCCCCAGATCCCCAATAGCGGAATCCATACTCTCCCACGGCCTGATCCCAGCCTCGATCCTCAGCACTGTCGTCTGGAACGCACCCATCGTCACGCCCCAAGCGGCACGTCCTGCTGGCTCCCACCCCTCGGGCAGGCGCTCGTCATATAACCAGGACTTGAGGTCGGGGATCGACCCTCCAAAAGTGCGGATGAAGGTTGCGCAGCTGGCTAGGGTTAGCAGGTTCTCACTTCGGATACACGGGAGATGACACACTTGGAACTACTGAAGAGCTTCTGGAAAGTGTTCATAGAGAACTGGGAGTTGTCCCTTCTGCAGTCTGCTCGTCTCAGCTCGCTATACTGGGACATATCGTCCACCGTCACTTTGTCCCCCTTGACACTGTCGAAGAACCCGTCGATCAGGTCTCGGGAGGGCTTCCCCTGATCGCCGCCAGGGGAGAGGAACGTGTCGTGCCTGAGGAGGGAAGCGTCATGTTCTATTCCGTTGTGCAGGCTGACATCCGCCAGGTTGACCGTGCCGTGCGTGTAGGACCGGCCGAGCACGCGGGCCATGTACAGGGGGACGAAGAAACAGAACGTAGGAGCGAAGTTGTATGTCTCTCGAATGGCGCGGCTCATATCCCTGAAGGGGATATTCTTCCCGTCGCGGGGGAGGATTCCTGGATATATGCGGTTAGGTGGGGCGGGGGAAGATGAACAGAAAGACGGACCATGATTCGCCATCGCGTTTAGCGCAGGGCAGGGAGAGCGGCTGTCGCTCGCGACTGGAGGGTGCCATTCCGGCCATTGACCGCCGTGTCCCGGTCTCCCTGGGGGTATGAGGCTGCCCCTGCGTTTTTGGAAGGTGAACGTGTTGAGCAGCAGGAAGGTGCTGTCCCAGACCATGACGTAGGTCAATGTGAGGGTGTGCCAGAGTGAGTCAGCCACGCCCAGGATGATGCGGGAGACAACGTTAAGCAGGATGTTGACCATGATTGAGTGGTTGTTGTTGTAAGGAAAGAGGAGATGTGCTGTGAGGAAAGAGTAGATGTGCCCTGAGGGAGTAGTACTGTAGAGTACATTGAATTCACCCGGAGTTAATAAGCGCTTGGGCGACTGTCAATTTTCCGACGACCATTACCTCAAATCCATGAATAGCGAACGGGGGAACGCCCAATCATGATATGCGTCCCCATTGTCAGCTCTAGAAAAATGGGTTTTTCTTGTTGGAATAGGCAGTGATTACGCCCATATGACCATGTGATCATCTCCGTTGCAGTGAACATGGTCGCAACCGCAGACCATCCATCTTTCCCCTTACGTCTTAGCGTCAAAAGAAGCACTTTTGAGCACGTGAAAAGAACCTACTTATTTCGGCATGCTGTCCTACGATCAGAAAACTCTCCACAACGTTGTGATTACTTGGCCAGCAAAAGGACAGGGGAAGCAGACAATTCAGTAATTCGGTCGTCGTAACACCAGGTACGCAAAGGGACAAACGGTTCGGCCTTAATAATATTGTTATCCAGGATAAAGGATCCGGACGCAACCTCCTTAGCCCTGATTAGCAGAGGTTAATTCTGGGCTTCGCCCAACACTGGCGCTGACTGGTCAGTGAATAGAATTGCCATCCAAGGCAAAGGAACCGCCTTGGGCGTTCTGGAATGGACAGCGCCTTCTCAAAGGGATGGGCGAGATCCTTTATAGACTGTGGGGGGGGTTGCGACTCCCTCCTCACACTCTACGATTTCTCCTCATCCCCATATCAACTCTTGAGACACATCCAATCCACAACCTGGGAACACAATGTTTGGAATCCTTAACGCCCTCTCTCGCGCGTCAAACAGCATCTCCGCTTCCCTGGCCCCCGTCGATACCGAGGGTGGCTCACTCAAGCCTCCGCCGGGCATCCTCGCCAAGACCATAACCGAAATCGAGGGCCTGGTAAAGACGAGCACCGCTATTGGGCCTTCGGATGTTCCTGCCATACTGGACGCCGTCCAGAACCTTAATGGGCCAGGCATCGATGACCGGTTGTTCCTGGTGCGCTGCGTTCTGCCTGTTTGGGGAAAAGACTGACTATATGCGCGCAAACAGCTGGAGAAACTGCTCACTCTTATGGCACGCATGCCTGCGGACAGTGCTATCAATCAGAGGATTCAGTCATTCTTCATCGATACACGTGAGTGTCTCCGAGCATCTCAGACCGTGTGTTGTATTAACAATGTGAGCATACAGTGTACAAGGACCTCCCCCACCCACCTTCCGCATACCTCGCCCCCTTCCCTCAAATTACCCCCGACCCGTACCCTAAGCGGTCCTACCACTACCGTTCAACAAATGGGGACAACTACAGCCCAGCATTCCCCCTCCTAGGCCGGGCAGGCTTGCCCTACTCCCGCTCGGTGCCCTCGGCCTCTCAGGTGCCCCCCTCGTCACTCCCCGACCCGGGGCTCGTGTTCGACTTACTCCTTGCTCGACCTGCGGGAAAGTTTAATGCGCACCCTGGTGGACTCAGCAGCCTCTTCTTCGGCATGGCAAACCTGGTTATTCATTCCATCTTTGATACCAACCGGACTGACTGGAACATCAACGACACCAGCAGCTATATCGATCTCAGCCCCCTGTACGGAAACGGAGTAAGCAAGATGAAGGCGCCGCCCGAGGCGCTTCGGAGGTTTGATGGAACCGGAAGGCTCCACGAGGATGTGTTCGGCGACGCAAGATTGTTATTCATGCCTCCAACTACGGCTGTGCTGCTTGTTCTTCTGTGTCGTAATCACAATGTAAGCTCATGCACGCCACCCGGCTTCGGGGACGAATGTCGCTGACTGAGCGTATTCAGTACATCGCCGAGAAGATCTTAAGCATCAACGAGAATGGGAATTTCCAGAATCCCCCTCCTCAAGACGAAGTTGCTAAACGGGCACAGGATGACGAGATATTTGAACGTACCAGGCTCGTGAACTGCGGATTCTTTGCTAGGGTCGTGTTGTATGACTATGTCGGTGGGATCCTTGGTATGACCAGGGATGGGAGCTCGTTCAGGTTGAATTTGGATGAGGTGTGTCTATTACCTGGGAATAGCAGGACTCGACTCATATGTGTGCAGCAAATCAGACGTTCAGATCATGAGATCGCCCCTGTCGGGCAAGGAAACCAGATCTCGGCCGAGTTTAACATCCTCTACCGATGGCACGCGTCAACCTCTGCGCCAGACGAGCAATGGCTCGACTATACCTTCAAGAACCTCCTCCAGGGCAAACCCTTCAATGAGGTCACTGTGGACGACTTTACCAAAGCCGCGACGCAGGCCATGCGACCTAACGACCCAGACCCGAAGAAATGGGAGTTTGGAGGGCTGAAGCGGGACCCTGTCACGCTCCGGTTCGACGATGCTGCTCTTGCGCAGATCCTGAAGGACGCGACAGAAGCTCCAGCGCATGCGTTCGGCGCGCGACAGATTCCTCAGGCGCTTCGAGTGGTCGAGATGATGACTATTTTGCAAGGTCGTACTTGGGGTGTGTGCACGCTGAACGAGTTCAGGTCGTTCTTCGGTCTCAAGCGTACGTCCTCTCCCTCTGTGAAACGATTGCAATTGATGGTATATATCAGCATACACCAACTTTCAGGAATGGAATCCCGATCCGGCGATCTACAAGGCTGCGGAGGCATTGTATGGGAATATTGACAGGCTTGAGCTACACGTCGGCCTTCAGGCCGAGGAATCGAAAGCTCCTATGCCTGGAGCTGGCCTCTGCCCTAGTTAGCCTCTTACCTCCTGGCTCCGGGTCACCGCTGATGCTTTGTAGGCTATACCATATCCCGGGCTATCCTCGCCGATGCTGTCGTGCTTTGCCGTGCTGACCCTTACCTGTCTACCGAGTTCACCCGTGCGTCTCTACAAAGGACATATGATACTCAGACTAATGCAAGTCCTCAGCGTACAACTGCACTGCATGGGGCTATCAGGACTGCATCTTGAACCCCAACGACGGCTCCTACGGTGGTGCCTTGACCAAGCTCATGCTCCGCAACCTACCCGGCCAGTACAAGACAGACGATGCCTACGTGCACTTCCCCTTCCTTGTACCCAAGGACGTGCGCAAGAACATGGAGTTACGCAAAGACCCCGCAGTAAACAAGTACGACTGGAAGAAGCCGCTCACGCCTTCCGTCGTGCCCCCGGGCACGGGGATCAAGACACTCAAGCTGATCGCATTATCTGCACAGAGCCAGCGGATCATGAACCTTGTCGGGAAGGTCAAGATCAACCGCGCCCTCATAAACCAGCAGCTCAGTGCCTATCTCTCCCGGCCGAAGACCGACGATGTCTTCGCGGAGATCACAAAAAGCCTTATTGACGACAAGTCAGTCGTGCAGCCAGGGTTCAACTCGAAACAAGTCGATATCGTCCAGGCGGTCATCAATCTTGTTCCGGTGCATTTCGTGGCAAACCATATTGTGAGCCTGCGCTGTGTAGGATGGTTGGGCTCCTGCTGATGAATCTCTCAGCTGGGCTTGCCGTTGAAGACGACCGCGAATCCTAATGGCGTGTGTCGGCCTGAGGAGCTGTGTGCGATGTTTGCAAATGCTGCAGAGTACGTCACTTCCCTCCGTATGAATTACATTCGCTGATGGCACTGCAGCTATGTTCTATACGATCAGGATGCGCCGGATGAGTGGTATATGCGCGAGCAGGCTGTGGGGTGCGCGAATACGGTCAGGAGGGAGGTTTCTGCCAACCTTGAGAGGTTGGCCCATGGTTTGGTACGTATATATCTTTGTTCGCTATTCGACTACTCATGGATTGGGACAGTGGTCTATCACTGGCCTCGTCGATACTATCACGGATATCATCTGCTTCAAGACGAACCACAGCGACGTGTTCCTCTCCACGCTCCTAGCCGCAGGGAAGAAAGAAGGCATGACCATCCCCGAAATTACCGCGTCTCTGTTGGCAGTCATCATTCCCTCCGTACCGCAGTTCTCGGCCGTCGTCACCCAGCTCGTCGACTTTTGGCTTAGTAAAGACCAAGCGAGCAAGAAGACAGACCTTGCGCAGATGGCTGCCGCTGGCCCGGGTATGAATCCTCAGATTGCTACATACGCCAAGGCTGCTATCAGTGAGTGAAATAATAAGTCCCTGCATTCGTAGCATCTAACATGAATCCAGATTCGATTCCTACCCTCACTCCGGCAGATGCTGGCGCTATCAACGGCTCAGTGTCTGCCTCCAGCCCCCTGAACTGCGTCGAAGGCTTGATGAGCGAAAAGACCTTCGACAGGCTTGCGCCTCTCATCCTCCGTTCGATCTTCGGCCTACACAACATCCGCCGCGCGCCTGGTCAATCCGGTGTTCTTCCCATGTTCACCCAGACGATCTTGGATCAGCCCCAGACGTTCTTTATCAATAATGAGAGTGGGCTGAGCCCGTGGCCGACGAGGCTTATGATACAGTATGATGCGTAGATCTATGCAGCGATGGAAGGATGATGGCTATAACTCCCTGGTATCGGACTAAGAATATGTTTTGCCCAATGATCCTCACCTCGGCTGGGGACCCAGATAGTTACGGATGGATTATATGGATTAATATAACGCAGGAAGGGAGGAAAGTATTTTTGGCTAACCTTAGAGCCGGTGTAGATACCTTGGAACTAGTACACGATCTAAATATATTTGAAACGTAAGGTGGAAGAACAGTGCCACTTTCAGAATAGAGATCTATCCTCGGGGTTACTGGCAGTAATTCCGTATCTGTGCTGATCAGTGAGCCCGTGCTCGAGTATGACATAGATATTGAGCCCTTTTCAGCAAGAAGAAGTCAAGGTCTTCTGCAAGAAGTCGGAGTCAAATAGAGTTGCTGGTCTAAATAGAGTTAATGACAATAAAGGAATGTAAGAAGTAATAAAATATATCCTATTCGGTGGATGTGTCCTTCCCAGAGCGTGGAATCGGCCGTCCAGAGAACACTAGTTTCAGCTGCGGCGGGAAAGGCAAAATATAAGGAGGTGAAATGCAGACTTATTCCGATCCTACGGCTTCAGCTTGCTTGCGGACAAGAGGAGCATGCTGTTATACTCTGTTTGGGGCCATGGGAACTTTTGGCTTTGAGCATGATGGGGGTCGGCATCCGTTGCTCGTCTCCGATTCGGAACTCAGGGTCTAGGCCGTGCGATCAAGCACATGAAAACACCGCACTTTATTCGGCAGTACTGTCTCCCCGCACGGGTTGTAGCCAACATACATGCCTGCTGGAGAGACAGTTGTGCTGTCTCAGCCCACATTCCAGTCTTGGCGTTTATAGCGCGCCTCGTCATTCCCTTCGGAGTCTACCTCATCCCGCCGGAAACAGCACGGCGCCGGTCAAGGGTCTGGCTGCATATGTATCGTCCGGTTCCTCATTCGGGACAGGCTCCTGCTGGAGCTTGACCCGTATTCTTCGCCGTGTCTGATCGACCCAATGTACGAGCAACGTTGGGCAGGCAGCCCCCGAAGGTGGGGGAATCATACCGCGGTGTGGGTATGCTTCCTGTGAGACCATCATGCGCTAGTCCAACATCTACGAATCGGGTACTATGCGGCCTGTTCTTCGGAGTTGCCTTTCACTTGCGGACGGCTCCCTCCTTGCCCCGTTCCCCAACTCATACTTAATACCCACTCTCCCCACTCCTTCTTCTCTACACTCCTCACGCAGAAACGCAATGTCTGGAATCCTGAACGCGATCTCCCGTGCATCAAACCTCATTTCCGCCTCCCTCGCACCTGTCGACACAGATGGCGGGTCGCTCAAGGCTCCTCCTGGTATCCTAGCAAGGGGGATTTCAGAAATTGAGGGCCTGGTGAGGTCCGGCAGTGCTGTTGGGCCTTCGGACCTCCCAGCCTTGCTGGACGCCATCCAGAACCTTAATGGACCGGGGATCGATGATAGGTTGTTTCTGGTACGCTCACATGTTTCTCCACCGCCGGAAAGCTGAACATATGCGCGCATATAGTTGGAGAAATTGCTTGTGCTTATGTCCCGCATGCCTGCGGACAGCGCTATCAACCAGAAAATGCAGGCGTTCTTCATCGACACGCGTAAGCCCCCTCCCCAATATCTCAGACTATAATAACGTCTTGCGCATACACACAGTGTACAAGGACCTGCCTCACCCGCCTTCTGCGTACCTAGCTCCCGCACCCCTCATAAGCCCCGATCCGCATCCCAAACGGGCATACAACTACCGCTCGACCAATGGGGATAACTATAGCCAGGCGATCCCTCTCCTGGGGCGTGCGGGCATGCCTTACTCGCGTACGGTGCCCTCCGCCTCCTGTGTGCCTCCCTCGTCACTCCCTGACCCGGGGCTTGTGTTTGATCTGCTCCTCTCTCGCCCTGCTGGCAAGTTTAAACCCCACCCCGGCGGGCTCAGCAGCCTCTTCTTTGGCATGGCGAACCTGGTCATCCATTCCATCTTTGACACGAACAGGACCGACTGGAACATCAACGACACCAGTAGTTACATCGATCTTAGTCCCCTGTACGGGAACGGGGTGAGCAAGATGAAGGCCCCGCCCGAGGCGCTGCGCAGGTTTGATGGCACTGGTAGGCTCCATGAGGATGTGTTTGGCGACGCTAGGCTCCTGTTTATGCCCCCTACCACCGCCGTACTCCTGGTCCTGTTGTGTCGCAACCACAATGTGAGTCTTACACTTTCACCTTCTCTTATTTGTGTCCCTAACGGACTATATGCAGTACATAGCTGAGAAGATTCTGAGCATTAACGAGAATGGAACGTACCTGAACCCACCTCCCCATGATGAAACTGCTCGGCGGGCACAGGATGACGAGATATTTGAGCGCACCAGGCTCGTGAACTCTGGATTCTTTGCGAGGGTCGTGCTGTACGACTATGTCGGGGGGATCCTGGGTATGACTAGGGACGGCAGCGCGTTCAGGTTGAACTTGGATCAGGTGAGTGTTACGCTTGTAAATAGATCTGCTAGACTCATATGTATACAGCAAATCAGGCGTTCCGACCATGAGATTGCACCGTTAGGGGAAGGTAACCAGATCTCGGCCGAGTTTAACCTCTTGTATCGCTGGCACGCGTCCACCTCTGCACCGGACAAGGAATGGATCGACGACACATTCAAGACCATTCTCCAGGGCAAACCGTACAACCAAGTCACAGTCGAGGACTTCACCACCGCTGCTGGGAAGTTCATGAGGCCAAACGATCCCGATCCGAAGAAGTGGGAGTTCGGTGGACTCAAACGCGATCCTGTCACGCTCCGGTTTGACGATGCTGCACTCGCTAAGATCCTGAAGGACGCGACCGAGGCCCCAGCACACGCATTTGGCGCGCGTCAGACACCTGAGGCCCTTCGTGTCGTCGAGATTATGACTATCCTACAAGGTCGTTCTTGGGCTGTGTGCACGCTGAACGAGTTTAGATCCTTCTTCGGTCTGAAGCGTATGTCCGCTGCCTCTGTAATGAACTGCAAAAGCTGATGATCCTTGCCTCAAGCATATGCTAACTTCAAGGAATGGAATCCCAATCCGGAGATCTACAACGCCGCACAGGCATTGTACGGCCACATAGACAGGCTCGAGCTGCATGTTGGTCTCCAGGCAGAGGAAGCGAAAGGAGCGATGCCCGGAGCTGGTCTCTGCCCCAGTCAGTGTCACCTTTTAGCTATAGTGTACTGTACTCATGACCATGGTAGGCTATACTGTATCTCGGGCTATCCTCGCCGATGCTGTCGTGCTTTGCCGCGCTGATCCTTACCTGTCGAGCGAGTTCACTCGTGAGTGTCTTTTGCAGGAGGCAGGTGTATGCGCTTATCCATGTTCGCAGCGTACAACTGCACTGCATGGGGTTATCAAGACTGTGCCATGAACCCGAACGACGGGTCGTTTGGCGGTGCGCTCACGAAGCTTATGCTCCGCCATCTTCCTGGCCAGTACAAGACAGCCGACGCCTATGTACACTTCCCCTTCCTTGTGCCAAACGAAGTCCGCAGGACCATGGAGTTGCGCAAGGACCCCATGGTGCACAAATACGATTGGAAGAGGCCGGTTGCGCAAACGACCGTGCCTGCCGGCACTGGCATCAAGACGCTCAACCTGATCACACTACCCGCACAGAATGATCGGATCACGAAGCTCATCGGGAAAGGCAAGATTAACCGTGCCCTGGTCAACCAACAGCTCCTCGCGTACCTCTCTCAGCCCAAGACCGACGATATCTTCGCGGAGATCACCAAGAAACTTATCGACGAGAACTCGGTCCTTCGTCCGGGGTTCAGCTCGAAGCAAGTTGATATCGTCCAGACGGTTATCAACATGGTCCCCGTGTACTTTGTTGCTAACTATATTGTGAGTCTCCGTGAGTCGAAATCGAATCGTGCTAATATCTGTTCTAGCTTGGTCTCCCCCTCAAGACCACCGCGAATCCGCACGGAGTGTATCGTCCCGAAGAGCTCTATGCGATGTTTGCGAATGCTGCAGAGTACATCCGTGAACTGATTTCCTCTCTGCGTTCGCTGATTGTGCCATAGTTATATCCTTTACGATCAGGATGCGCCTGACCAGTGGTGCATGTGCGACAACGCGACTGGATGTGCGGATATGATGAGGAAGGAGATATCTGCTAATCTTGATAGATTAGCTTATGGCGTGGTAAGTCTGATTTTTTGCGTATTATCGTCATCACTTATATCACTGCTAGTGGTCGATCACCGGCCTTGTCGATACTGTCGCGGACATGTGGGCCTCTAAGACGAATCAAAGTGATACCTTCCTCTCTACCCTCCTGTCCGCGGGCAAGAAGACAGGCATGACCGTCCCCGACATTTCTGCGTCTCTGTTTGCGGTTGTGATCCCTTCGGTTCCGCAGTTCTCAGCCGTTGTGACGCAGCTTCTCGACTTCTGGCTCAGCAAGGACCAGACGAGCAAGAAGACGGACCTTGCGCAGATGGCGGCTGCTGGGCCTGGTATGAACCCACAGATTGCGGCGTACGCCAAGCAGGCTATCAGTGAGCACAATTGTTATTTACTCAACCGAGCCGTCTGACATTGCTTCCAGAGTCGATTCCTGCCCTTACCCCTACTGATGCCAGTGCCATCAATGGCTCAATGGCTGTGGCCAACCCGCTGAACTCTATCGAAGGATTGATGAGCGAAAAGATCTTTGACAAGACCGCACCTGTCGTCCTCCGTTCGATCTTCAGCCTGCGCAATGTCCGCCGTGCCCCTGGCCAGTCAGGTTTCCTGCCCATGTTCACTCAGACGGTTCTGGACCAGCCTCAGACTTTCTTTATCAACAACGAGAGCGGTCTGAGCCCGTGGCCCACGAGGCTTATGATCCAATATGACGCGTAGAACACATGATCCGCCGAATACCGGCCAAATTATGAAATGGGTACCCTGCAGATAGATAATGTAATTCTTTCCTCCGCGCGACTGCAATTCATGATGATGAGTATGATATACATGACATGTGGAAATATCCACACCGTACAAAACAGGGTATACAATAACAGAGATAATCACAGCTCCTCAACCTCGACCTTGAATCCACATTCCTCACATCTCTGCTCACCCTCTACCACCAAACCAAACACATGCTTATGTTCTTGATCCTTCCTTTTCTGCCAAACGTTCCCTCTCGTTCTTCTCCTCAGTTCCCGGAGTTTCTCCTCGAACTTCTTTCCTCTTTTTGCCTTTTTCCCCTCTTCTCTCCGCGCCCACTCTGCGTCCAACCCCTTCGGCCCACCCCATTTCTCCCACGCGAACGCTTCCACTTGCTTGCGCAAAAAGAGCATCATATTATTATATGTTGCGCTATGGGGATTCGCTTTGAGGAGGTGGGGCATCGCCGTTTCATCTCGGAGCTCAGAGTCTGTAAGCAGGTAATCCTGTGGCGAGTGTTAATCCAACTGGAGTTCGCAATGGGGAGGAATGGTGCTCGGAAGGGAAAGTGGTAGTGACGGTAAAGGGCAAAGTACTCACGGCCTTGCACTCGGTCTTGGTCAATAGACTATACAGCTCGGGGAACTTGTCCTTGCACTGTGCACACACTCGCACGCCATACACTTTGTTATACTGGTGGTCGATATCGATCGTCCCACACTGCTCACATCGTGGATTCTTGCTCGCGTTCATAAACACCGCTGTACGATGCACACGCTGAGGTCAATACCTGCTCAGTTAGATACGAGAAGGTGACGCACGCGGATCGAAATTCTGCTTCATCCTCTCTCTCTCTCTCTCCAGCTCCTTCCGCCTCGTCTCCTGCGCCTTCTCTGCCTCTCCCTTCTCCGCCTCTGTCAAGAACCCTCCCTTGGTGTTGACCATCTTGCTCAGGTCATACTCGTAGTATGTACCGAGCCAGGAGTCCCGGGGAAGAGGTGCCTCGGGCTTGGAGGTCGACGGTCCCTGGAACTTTGACGGCACAGTCGGAGAGGTCGAATTCCATGGAGTGACAGTAAGAGGCCGCTTGTTGTTCGAGTTCGGGGTAGTCGAAGGACCAGCTTCAGAACGTTGACGTTCGCTCTTCTTTAACCGTGCCTTGGCTGTGGGTTTTATGAGCACGTTGCATCTTCGGTAATGAGTGATGACGCACCTTTCAGCCGGTTGATCTCGACCTGCTTTACCTGCTCAGGGGTCAGGGCGACGTTTCGCTCTGTCACTCCCGGTCGCGGTGGGGGAGTAATGGGAACTGCCGCAGGTGCAGCGACGCGGGGAGGAGGCGTGGAAGGGCGGGACATGGTGAGAGAGATGGTGGTCGTGCGAGGGTGATGACTGGCGTGCAAAAGGGTTATGCAATGTAAGGCTGACTAAGCATCAACATACCGATGGATCAATGATGTCGCTACACAAAGTAAAACTTCCGAAATGCACGTGATTCCTATATCCATAAGTGTCTCTGGGTACATGCAGAGATAAACTACACAGCGTAGCAATAGTTGAGATCCAACAAAATCCTGTCCCATCAAATCTAAGAAAGAATCAATCTTGCCTACCAGAGTCAACTCTCAGGCTCCTAGTCTTGCTCTCCCTCGATGTAGAATCAACAAGCTCTCTTCCGTCAGGCAAGCCTACCCTCGTCCCTGCTTTAGGTACTTGGGCGATGGGCCTTGCCTTCTCGTACCCAGTCTTGACCCTGTTGTTGCTCGTGCTCTCCCTGCATCAATGTTGTCAGCGTATGTCACACAGAAGGATTTAGCAGAGGTGAGGTGGGGGACGCACCAGATCTCTCCGATTAGGTCCTCCAGAGGGTACCACCCCAGCGGGCCAAAGGCAAGCGTACGCAAGCTGACCCAGGGGAGCCGATCGGCACAACCGATATAGGCGTGCAAGTGGAGGTGGAAACCTGGAAGTATCGAATCGGTACAGGGGGGCGAGATGAGGCCGATGTGTATTTGTTCTGCTGGGGAGGGTGAGGGCTGAGGGGAGGAAGCCTGGGGTGTTGGGGGGAAATGCTGAGCTAGCAAGTGGGGGCAGAGATTGAGTGCGCGTTGCAGGAGAGGGATGGACGTGGGTGTTAGGTGGTAGAGAGAGGTGATGTGCGCACTGCGGGGTCTGATTAGGTTTTAGTTCGTCTGCTTCGGAGGATGTGCGTACTTGAAAACCACAATCAGGTGTCCTTTACTGCTCACCGGATCCTTCTTCTCCACGAACACCGTCACGTCCTTGTCGACGTAGACGACTTCCCCTCCGCTCGGGGTCACATATACCGGCCTGGGCACTGACGGGCCTGCAGCGACGCTGGAAGGGTCGGGGGAGGAAAGGAGCGGGGATGATGAGTCTGGGTTAACCGATGGGACTTGGGTGGGAGGAGAGCGTGATAGGGCCACGATCGTGCATACTGGGCAGCCGGTGCGAGGTGCGTAGGGGTCGCGTGAGGAAGACGTGGGAGCCATCCCAAGTCCTCGACCAGACAACAGTGACAGAGATCGCTCTCAATGTCAATTATGGAAGGTGCGATGACCTAGAGAGCCACGTCTGTGCAGATCGTCAGCCTGGCGCCTTGCACGCGCGCGAAGTTGGTTGATCTTGGCTGTGCTCTTGGCACCAAGAAGAGTCATCAGCAGACGATGCCGTGGGAGGCACTTTCTGCAGGTATTAATAGAGGAGTCGAGTGAAGAATACGAGTGCTCATCCCCCCCGGCGACGTGTCGGGCATAATGGACTAGTACTACAAAATGAAGGTGAAGGCCGTCCCCAAAAATAGGGCGGTATTCAGAGAATCGGACACCGATCAATACAATCCATTTATCGGATGTAAGCTCATTTCGGCATCGGCGATGCGGTACAGCGGAAAATATAATCAATTAAATAAAGAATCGACGCACGATACATTAATCACACAACATGCCATTTTGTCTGGCGTAAGCATGCCGTGTGTGCATTAAGCACCCGGGGCATTCGGAGGCCTGCCGTTCGTAATATTAGCCCCGACGATATCAGGAGAGTTATATTGCTAAAGCAGTCAAACGCAAAGTTGATCTCCTCAACCCTGGTCTTCATCGCATCGACGAAAGAGTCGAGGGGGCACCGGCCGTACTCATCCTTCCCGCAACCGGGGATGTTATCGACCGGGATGGACGCGTCGTTCAGCAGCCAGCGGATATAAGGCTTGGTGTTGGCGGATGAGTCGGTGCAGTTGACAACTTGGGCAACCAGGGCGGTGGCAAAGGGTGTGGTCTGCGATGCGACGAAGGAGCGCTTGCCCACGGGGATATGATCTACTGGGAGCGGGCCGCTCTTGGCGAAAGAGGTGAAGTTCAAGGCGACCATAACTGTGCGTTGCCCCAATGTGAATGACGCAATACCGATTGAGTTGATACACGGAATACTCACCAGAGTCAAAGAAAGTCTCGTGCGTGGCATCAACTTACAGGCTCTGGTTGACGGGGAATGTCAGGGGGTTGCTGTCCAGAGTGCTGTTGGTTGAGGTGTTCCATACGGTGATGGGCGTGTGTGTCAGGCGAGCTACAAGCTCCTGCACCCAACCGACGCCCATGGCGGCCGCAGTAGGTGCACCCCAAGCAAAGCCGTACCAGTAGGTGAAATCTATCATGCCAACGTCAATAAGTACATTCTTGCCTAAATGAAAGCGAAGAAGGCACACCCGACGTGTACTCAAAGCCCTCCCACTCCTCAACAGTGAACAGTTTGCACCAGTCAGAATATCCCACTGCGACCGTCTCGTACGCGCAAAGACTCTGCATGTTCCCCACATCTGCAAATGTGAAGTTGATCCCTTGGACCTGCGCGTTGATCCTCGCGGTTGCGTTGGCGAGATAGATCGACTGCCACTTGGCAATGGGAGCTGCCGAGTTCAACAAACTGACTATGAGGTTCTTGCAAGTCTGTTTCGCGGTGAAATTATGCCTGTGCACAGGAATGAATCTAACGTACAGGAGAAAGCGTGTTGTTGCCAGCAACGCCAGCAGGTGCGCCCTCGATAATGATCTCCTGATGATACTGGTTCTCATAAGGGATGCCAAAGAATCCAGCCGCAAAATTCAGGGCGGACTTGACCATGCGGTCCTGGCTCGTGGTGCGGAATACGGGGAGGGTGCCGTTGGGGAACTTGTCGAGCAAATGACCGTACTTGATGCGCCAGGAGACACCCAGGTCGAACAGCTGCTTGCGACCGAACGGGGTGAGGATCTCGGCACCCAGCCCGTACTTCCAGCTCGTCAGGAAAGCCATCTCACCCGTTGCGGTGAACTTGCCTGTTGCATTGGCAATCCGCGCGCCTAGGGTCGAAACTGTCTCGATCGAAGACGGGTAACGGGCGCCGTGCCGGTGCAACATGTGTACCTCCAGCAGCTCACAGCGAGGGGGAATGAGTGCGGAAGAGTTGACGAGATAAGTTGCGAAACTATCCGGCCGGTTAGAGATCGCAGGCGACAGACTACCCCAGTGCTTCGACGAGTCAAATGAGGCGTTTCCGCCCAACGGAATATCGGGATGAACCAAAGGGAAGTAATCTGACAGGAAAGGAGCCCTCGGGGCCGTGGCAACTATCTCGGGCTCTGCACCAGTCGAGGTGGGCCCGGCGAAGCCAACGACCGAAGCAGGAGGGAAGAGATTGGCTGACTGAGCATTCGCACTGAAGACGGTGGATAGAGCAGATACCATGACTGGTACTGGAGAGGACGCGGAATTCTAACGATTAGCTCCTCAAAATCCAATGTCGCACATCCCGCATATTTATACCCTCCCGAACCGCCATCGTCTGCTCGGGGAGATCATGGTCATTCGGTGCAGGGCACAGCAAGACCGCGAAAGGGGTCCACCGCATTGAAACTGAAGCTAGCAACAAGTTTCCATCTTTGGTTAAGACAGGGCACGAAAGAGCCACCACCATTCAGATATTGATAACATCAGTTGAAGACTGCAATGCAGGAGCACGTTCGTGATAGAGGATGGTACTGTACAAGGGTTCGACCATTGTTGAAGAAAGCTGGTGGCCGACGGTGGGCTCGGGATCAGTGCGCGATGTTGCTTCGGCCTCCGGATGCGGGCATGCCGGCGACAATCAGTAACGACAACATGTGAGGATGTTTGACTCGCCACACTTGACTTGTACTTCCATGAACTATTTGTGCACAAGGTGCTCTTTAGCAGGAAAAGCACAATTTCGGAACCTATCCTGAGTCAGCCAAGTTTATGTAGTAATCACCCCGAGAACCGTACCGCTTACGCTAAAGGACCACGTGCTCCAGGGCAAGTTAACTTTCGCCAATATTTAGAGTAGAGAGAGGGCGGCCGAGCCGAAAAGAGACATCGGAACATCGACACGCAAAACAGCCCATCACCCAGTTGCAACAACGTATGCGTCCTGGAGTGGAACGCGTCCGAGTGAGGTCGTGCTCGCAGTTGCGTCTTCCAGAAGGATGGGTCGAGCTCCGCATGCTTGCCAGCGGTCACGGGTTCTCGCACACATATGCGTTCGCTACCAGTGTACTGTAATGCGAAGTTCTTTTTCGGGCTTCTCGTGGTTTGCTTTCACCCGGCATACAATTCGGGAAATAGAGCACGGGGCACTTGAGTTGGTTATAAGAAGAGCGTTGTGATGCGTTGATTCACTCCCAATTATTCGGTATGATGTTCGTTGTTGCGTTGACGACATTTCTCTTGACTGGCGTCGCGATCGTCGCCTCTGTTGCTTCACGAGATGCGGATGCAGCGGTTGAGGAGGTCACGTCGGCGCTGGAAGATATCTTCCCTAGTCGTTTGGACAAGATTCGGGGCATGTATGCATGGGAGGGGTTCGTGTATGACATCGAAGCTTGCCAGGACTTTCCGAAGCTCGTCGAGGACTTCGCCCGTATGAGGACTATGGGCGCTCGGAACGTCATTACCTTCGACTACTGTGGAACAGGTGCTGATCCAAATTATTATGATAGTAAGTTCCCTCCAGTTCGATAGCGAGGCGTGGATTCAGCTCTTGCAGCTATTATTTCCGCAGCCGGCTTCACAGGCATTAACATCATTCCGCTGGTGTGGACGCTGCCGATCCATCCCATCGGACAGAACTACACTGCGAACGATACATTCGCTATTAAGAGCGTTCCAAGGATATATGCTTTGACGCAGGTATGTTGATATATGTTCGGGGGAAGAAATGTCACACAGCAATCCTAGGCCGTAATTCGGAATCCCGGTCCTGTTCTTGCAGTCGCGTTGGGAGATGAGGTACGCTCATGCGAAAGAAACGCGGCATGGTGGTCTTGATGACTTGCAACAGCCGCTGTATGACGATGATGCTGGCTCCGCGGATGCACTCGCCGCATATATCGTGCAGATGAAAGCCTCGTTTCAAGGTGCAGGCCTCGATATCCCAGTTTCAATTTCAGATATGGCGTACGGCTGGCAGATCTCGGGCAACATCACGTCCGTTCAAGACGCGGTCGACTTCTTCATGATCAACAACCTCCCATATTTTGATCAGAACGCGGTGTGGGGAGGCGATAATAACAGTTGGACGAGCTTCTTGAACAGCATCGACTATTTTCAGTCCTTGGCGAACGGACGCCCGCTACTGGTTACTCAGGTAAGTTTCGGCAGCGGGAATCAGTAGTATCCTCACAAGCATAGACTGGCTGGCCAAGCAACACGAACACGTTCGCCCCAAATAGTCCGGACGTGATTGCGACCGTGCTGTCTGAGGAGGCATTCTGGAAGCTACTTGACAGCCATTGTGAGGATTACTTCAAACCAGCCAACATAGGATGGATGTGGAGGAACTGGGACGATGCGATTGACGGCTGGGGGGTGTTATACGACGATGGAACGGAGAAGTGGCCCATCCATGCAAGACGTACCTGTTAGGTAGCGCCCGTAGTGAATGCACCCAGGGATAAAGTTCAACGCGTCATGCCGATTAGGTCATCTTTTACGGACGGAGAAACGTTCGCGTCACGCGTCTCCAACTTTAGGCGTCGACCTCCATCTGACCACCGACACTGGGTGCATGATAATGGAACGACCTATTACTTTGTGCATGACCGCTGATTGTTTTCGTTTCCCTCTCTTCTAGGATGGCTGAGGCAGTCATCGCGGAAGCCTTTGCTTATGAACTCAACGAAGACGACACTATCGTGGAGGTGGTGGAACCTGCGCCGCTCGGCTCATTACCCAACAACACCCAGGCTACTGATGTTGAGGAATTTAAGTCCGAAACGGAGCCTCATCCACATATTCATATACCTGATGGTGGTCTACCAGCATGGTTGACTGTTGTCGGTGCTTGGTTCATATCGGCCATCTGCTATGTTTACGTCAACGCATATGGCGTCTACCAAGCGTACTATGTCCAGACTTTGTTGCCTTCGTACTCACCAAGCGCTATCTCGTGGATCGGGTCTTTGCCAGCTTATCTTTTGTTTGCGGTTGGTATCATAACTGGTCCGATGTTTGACCGGGGATACTTTCGCCATCTAATTATTGGAGGAAGCATCTTATATATTGGATGCCTGTTCGCACAAGCAGAAGCCAAGGAGGATGCCTACTGTCAGGTATTCAATCTCGAATACCGTGAATATGTCTGATGGTCACTCAGATATTCTTAAGTCAAGGTCTTGGACAAGGTTTGGCTCAGGGCATAATCTATCTCCCATCAGTTGCTGTGATGTCCCATCATTTCCGAAGACGACGAGCGTTTGCGATGGGTCTTGCTGTATCCGGATCTTCGACTGGAGGCATCCTCTTCCCAAGTACGCATTAACTATTTTGTATGAGATGATATTACTGATGATTAGTCATGATCAACAATTTGATTGTCAAGAAAAAGTTCCCGTGGGCCGTTCGCGCCTGCGGCTTGTTCGTTCTCGGCGCTACCGTGGTCGCGAACCTTCTCATGAAGCCACGAGACGTTCCGCATCATAAGAACACGTCTGCATCGAACCCACTTAAGCTCCTACGAGACTTGCCCTATGTAATCTGCATTGCATGCACGTTCTATATTTCTCTTGGACAATGTACGTATCTGATCGTGGGAGTTCGTTCCATATGCATACTGATAGTCGGGCAGTCTTTGTTTGTAAGTCGCGGAAGTTGGGTATAGCGACATTTATCTTAAGCGTCGCAGTCTTCTATATTCAGCTCTTCAGCATAACTCGTGGATTGAACGGAACATTTTCATTCTATACAGTATGCAGGTCTGTTTACATCCCTAACTAGTCTATCTGACTCCGATATGCAGATATCCTTCATCAACGGTGCATCTGTTATCGGGCGGTCAGTCCAACATGGTCCAATCAGTGTCTTAGCTAACGTGGCACAGAACTCTGCCAAATTTAGTTGCAGATAAAGTCGGAATATTCCCTGTGTTCATCCCCTGTTTGATCATAGCTGGTGCAATCGTGTTCGCCATGTTTGCCATCAGCAGCATACCGGCAGTGGTGATATTCTGTCTGTTGTACGGGTTCTTCTCTGGAGCTTGTGCGTGCGGTTGCTTGCGGTTCTACCAGTCTGCTGACTACGTAATGATAGACATCAGCCTGCTCGGACCGATGTTCGCCGCGATGGCAGATCATCCTTCGGAGATGGGCGCACGAATGGGCTTTGCTTTCGCCCTTGTAGGCGTAGCGGCACTGATTGGAACACCGATCGATGGTGCGCTGGTGGGCAGCGGCCCCGAATATGAGTGGTGGAAAGCAATTGTATTTAGTGCGGTAGGTTATGTAAGAGCGACACATCTTATCGTAGCTTACCATGCTCTTATCAGATTGTCATGCTGGTCGGATGCGCATTTGGGATCGTTGGAAGTATCATGCTCGCGAAGAAGCGGGGAAACGATGGGTCTGACATACGGCAGCTATCTCATGATGTTGAAATCCAACATTTTCCACTAAACATGCATCAACTCTGCACGCGTGCTCGTGAATGCGTCGCCTCCTGTTCACCAAGTGGGGACTTGATGCCAGCTGGCCATCGCGTACCCTCCTTAATCATGGTCGTCCACGCGGCGATTCATCGAATTCTAGGCGTCTTTATTCTGTGCACATGGCTCAGTACGACGATTCGTCAAGCCAGGCCCTTATATGGATGTGCGTCTAAGCTGTTCGACAACCGCATTTGTACTATGGCTCATATAGGTCCCAAATTGTTTGGTATCTGTGGATCCAACAGTTCCACTATTTCGAAATGCTCTGATGTGAAAGGAACTTACGAAACTCCACTGATCTACTTAAGGAGGACCTGCGATCATACCACGATCTGAGCCGCTCACTCCTACCATGCGTCTTGCCTTCACTTGTGCACTGCTTTCTACGCTTATAGGACATGTCAGTGCTCTGGATCCCAATCGATACCTTGGGCGAGGCGTCATCCAGCAAAGAGCGTATGCCAGCAACCTTACCCGATTGCAGAAAATTCAAAACATGTACGCATGGGAGGGGTTCGTATACGATACCCAGGTGTGTTGTTCATCCGAATGCCTCAATGGCTCATCTGATATGGTCATCAGTCTTGTCCCGGTCTTGCTGAAATGGTAGGCGACTTCACCCGCATGAAGTATATGGGAGCACGCAATGTGATTACCTTCGAGTTTTGCGGTACCGGTGCCGACCCTACCTATTATGACAGTGGGTGATGGAGTCCAATTGGGATCGGCAGTTTACAATTCACCCGGGCCTTTAGCTATCATCCAAGCGGCCGCATATGCCGGAATTAACATCATCCCTTTGGTCTGGACGCTGCCTATCCATTACGCGGGGCAAAACTATACCGCCGAGGATACGTTCGCTATCAAGAGCGTTCCGCGAATATACGCCTTAACAGAGGTACGCCACGCCAAAGGTGTGCCTGGTCATACCCTATGCTCAACCTGTCGTAGGCTGTCATTCGCAACCCGGATCCAGTGCTTGCAGTCGCCCTGGGTGATGAAGTAAGTGAGTATATACTCTAAAAGCTGGGCGTTAACTTCCATGAACAGCCATTATATGACGATGATGCCGGATCCTCCGACGCACTTGCCTCATACATTCTCGGCATGAAGGCATCCTTCCAAGCTGCTGGACTGGACATCCCGGTCTCCATATCCGACATGGCGATTGGCTGGCAACAATCCGGGAACATCACTTCGGTGCAGAATGCGGTCGATTTCTTCATGATAAACAATTTGGTGTATTACAACAACAACTCAGTCTGGGGAGGGGACCAGGTAACTTGGTCCAACTTCTTGGATGTCATGGATTACTTTGCATCGCTGGCAGAGGGCCGCCCCATACTCGTGACCCAGGTATTACGTTACCAGTGGCGGATTTAGTGTTGCAGTGCTGATTTGTCATTAGACGGGTTGGCCCAGCAACGAAAACACATGGCCATCAAATAGCACAAACGTACAAGCCAACGTCCCCTCCGAAGCGGCATATTGGAACTTGCTGGATTATCACTGCGATGACTATTTTAAGCCGAATAACATTGGGTGGATGTGGAGGAGTTGGAAAGACGACATTGATGGGTGGGGGGCACTCTTTGTGAATGGGACAGCCAAGTTCTCCGTTGAGGCTAGGATTACCTGTTGATGGGGACGTAAACGTGGATTCCAAATGATTCCCAAGACGGAGTATCATGTCACAAGTGGAACAAAAGTTTCGTACCCACGCATTCATGGGCGCGTTCCGACACCGTCGCGGAAAGACCCTGATACTTTGCTGACAAGCGCAGGTTTAATAGAATCGCGGTTGTGAGCCAACATGGGATAATCTCGTCCGATAATGGGGTTTACAGAGGACGGCATTGCCTTTCCCATGGGTGACTCCACAGCCCGGTGGGTGTGCACTTTATAAAAGGCGTACAGAGCCAGCCACTACCCCTTCACTTCTGGTATTTATCATCCTTCTCGCTTCCTTTTAAAAGATGGCTTCACGGGGCGTCCTCGAAGTTGGCCAAACCAGCGCTGTCCGAGTATCGGAAACCAGCACTATCGTGGACTTTCCCGTTCCTCAAGCACCTGCTGATGTCGAAACCAGCACTGTCGTAGATTTCGCTGCTCCTCAAGAGCCTGCCGGTGTCGAGAAAAAGGAAGCTGCAACAGAAGCTGCTGCTCCACCGGCCGCTGCTCATGCTCGAAAGGATGGAGGATGGGATGCGTGGATGACTGTCGCGGGTTCATGGTTCATCTCATCCATATGCTTTGGGTACGTCCCTCGTTCACGTTCATTTAAGGTGAAACTAAGCGCTGTCAACAGATATGTCAACGCTTTTGGGGTCTATCAAACGTACGTTATGCTGGTTATCGGAAGCACTATACGAGCTAACCTGTAGCCAGGTACTACGTCGAAACATTGCTACCCTCATATTCGGCTTCTTCGATTGCATGGATCGGTTCATTACAAACATACTTCCTATTCGCCATGGGATTGGTTACTGGACCGCTTTTCGATCATGGGTATTTCTGGCATATGATGATTGTGGGGAGTGTGCTGTATGTCGGGACGCTTTTCGCGCAAGCACAAGTGCAGAAGGACTCGTATTATCAGGTATGTTTTGCACTCATTGTATCGGGACTTCCTTTCATCACTCTGTAGGTCTTCCTCAGTCAGGCCGTAGGACAAGGGATTGCCATGGGAATCATCTTCCTTCCCTCAATGGCGGTGATTGGCCATCATTTCCAGAAGCGCCGTGCCTTGGCCATGGGTTTGACCGTGACCGGTTCCTCAGTAGGAGGCATAATCTTCCCAAGTACGTACTTCGCCGTTCATTCAACGATATGCATTAATTGAGCGTTACAGTTCTTGTCAACAATGTTTTCAACGACCGCGGCTATGTCTGGGGTGTCCGGGCAGTGGGATTCTTTGTCCTCGGCGCATGTGTGCTGGGTAACCTGCTGATGCGGCCGCGCTATCCCCCGCGTCACACCAAGCCGCCGACACCGAGTATTTTCAAGCTGCTCCGTGATCCTCCCTATGTGGTCTCGATTGGTGGTCTGTTCTTGACTGCGCTTGGACTGTGTGAGTTTTCTATCCACTGAACTTCGGCTCATGCTGACTGATGTTTTTAAGTCTTTGTTAGTAAGTGTCTTCTTGGACTGATTCTTCCCGGATCCGTTTGACCGTTCACTAGTCTTCTACATCCAGTTATATACACTGACCCAGGGCATCTCCGAAAACCTCTCTTTCTACACTGTATGTCTCCTCCGCACTGCGAATAATACCTCCCTGACGCCTTGATCAGCTCGCAATCCTTAACGCAGCCTCGGTCGTTGGCCGAACCCTGCCAAATATTTTGGCAGACAGATTCGGGATCCTGCAAGTAATGATACCGACTGTTTTCCTAAGTGGTGCAATCGTATTTGCAATGTTTGGGGTGAAGAGCGTTGGTGCGGTGGTTATCTTCTGTATAATGTACGTCGGGGTAGTACATTCAACGTACGGGAAGCTTACAGATTTGTTTTATAGTTACGGTTTTTCCTCTGGAGCATGTAAGTCACCTCGGATCAATACCGCGTCGTTTGTCTGATTATTTCCGCAGTCGTCAGCCTCCTCGCTCCCCTGATGGCCGCCTTGTCAGATCACTTCTGGGAGATGGGAATGCGCATGGGCTTCGCATTCTCGTTGATCGGCATTGCGGCTCTGATCGGCACTCCGATCGACGGTGCCCTCATAGGCAACGGACCGGTGTTTGACTGGTGGAAGGCAGAAATATTCAGTGGGGTATGCAACCCTAAGTATCGGATAGAACTGGGACTGATATCCTGTTTCAGATTGTCATGCTCGCTGGGTGTGCCTTGCTTGTAGTTGCAGGATACTTGCTGGCCAAGAAGAGAGGGCTGCACTTTCCTTGAAGGAATCGTTGACCATAGACATGGTTAAATGTCCACTGTGTAAACGGATAGGGATACTGTACGGCATCGAATAATGCACTTGTTTCAGTACGGATCATGGTGTGATTGCTTCATGAGCGTGGGAAGGAACACAGATCGATTTGGAAGATGGACGTGAAAGCAAGAAGAGTTGATTTAGCCGAACCTTACCTTTTGTTGGCACCCTTCCAGTGGCAACGCTCTCTCTCTCATTCCTCCCCCCCCCTCTCCCCCCCCACGGTTATTTGCTTGCATTGCACCTGCCGTTCAACCTTCGTAGCAGCGAGTTACGGAATATGTCACGTGATGTGGAAGTGGGCTCGCTTCGGTGTTCGCGCATCACCTCGTATCTCCGGGAATCAATCCATAGACCGTTCGGAGGCAAGAAGCCTAGACCCGACGATCAAATCCAAATCGTGAAGCGAAACAGGTTTCGGCAACGGTGTACGAAACCTGTTACAAAACTGGGCTATTGGTTTAAGCTTGAGGGACTGTACATTATCTTTTGAGAAGCCGCCCCGATTTTTATGGAACTGGCGTAGGGTTTGTTCTGATGATATGAACTGATTGTTGATGCTACCATGCGGGTGATGATGATGCGAGATCAGAACTCAGGTGTGAGCGCCTCGTTGTTGGCGAGGCTGCTGGGTGTAATCGTGTGAAAAGCGGTGTTGAGCGGCAAAGAAGGACCGCAGACGCACTGGCAGCGGCAGCAACATAACGATCCACCGAAGACCCAGCCCAGCCAAGCCTGGGTCGGGCGTGTGGAAGCTTGCAGACGCGAGGCTCGGGGGATGGCTTGCTGATTGGGACAAGGACGAGGAAGTCCATGGAGAAAGAAGGAAGTTGTCCAGACTGGTGGGTCACGGACGATTGGCCGGAGACTCCAGCTCGTCGAGACCATAGGCATAGAGAAACACGGACGAGCTACTCGATGGCTCGACAGGCATAGTCACGCATAACAGCGGTACTATGTCCGGTCTCTTTTTTCGGGACCAGTTGCAAGGATTGTTGGGGGGTCAAAACAGGTGAAGAAGCACCTTTTTGCGTCCGCTCAGCCAATCACAGGTTTCAAATCGTGCTTCTCGAAAGGTTGGTTTAAACCTCCTTTTTTAATCCAAAAAAGGGAGGCGCAAAACGCGGTGATTGCCGGCAGCAAGAACCAGCAGTTTAACTCGGCACGGAAATCGGCGGCCGATAGCATCGCACGGAAAAGCTTTTGTTATCGATACAACGGAGAAATTCTCCGTTCTGCCGTCTTTGACGCCTTCATGCGCGTGCTAATCACGTGGATCAGGGTTTGGGTCTGATGTAACAACGGAACGTTGTTGATCCCCTCGGTGTTGGACGCTCTGTGAGGACGCCGGCCTTCTCTCAAGTGGCTTGATACGCAGTGCAGGACGAATGGACAACGTTGAGGTGGAGTGAATAGGACGAGGTAGACACAAGGTGAGTGCCAGCGGCGACATCGGCCCCTTTTGGGCACTCGTCCATCAGGGCCAAGTGTACAGCCATTCAGTTATACAAAGCTTCGCAACTTTATTTGAGTACGGCAATCATCCGACCTGGCTGCGACGTACAACCGACCCATCAGACGAACAGAGGTCCTCACAGCCGGTTTGTAGGAAATCCACCGCATTTGCGTCATCGGGCCCCTTGGCTCGTATCAGCGGATCACCAGCTGCATGTTGACGCAGGAATTTTCACCTTGGGTAACGGCAGATCGTATCCTCACAAGTGGTACGGCAGCAAGAAATCATGACCGTGGCACGTGCGATGCCGTGGATAGACCAAGATGGATATTTGCACCGGTTACAAGGACACCGGTTAACGATGACATAAAGCCTAGAGATTAATCCTTTGGAGGACAAACCCATCAGATCCCCTTTCTTTCCCCCATCTCCCTGCACACAATCAATGACGATCGTTTCACTGGCAGGAAAGCAGAGCGATGAGGAGATCTCCTACGACATGGAGACACTGGCAGAGGTCATAGCGCCCGCGGCTGCGGAGCGCATGGAGGAAGCTAAAGCAGGAATTGTTCCTGAGAAGCACGACCACGAGCACCATATTCCTGAGGGAGGTGTCAAGGCTTGGATGACCGTGGCGGGAGCATGGTGGATCTCCTCTATTTGCTTTGGATACGCCAACGCCTTTGGAGTATACCAAACGTAAGTTCTTCATACCAGCATTATGATCTTCACTAAAGAGGCGCAGATATTATGTCACAGAGCTCCTCCCTTCCTACTCGACCTCGGCGATCTCATGGATCGGTTCCCTCCAGGCCTTCTTCCTGTACTCGACAGCTATTGTTGCAGGGCCGATGTTCGACCGTGGCTACTGCCGACACATGCTCGTCGCAGGGAGCGTCCTCTTCGTCGGGTGCTTGTTCGCCCAAGCACAGGCACAGCGAGATGCGTACTATCAGATCTTCCTTAGCCAGGGGCTAGGACAGGGGATGGCTATGGGCATGCTCTACCTCCCGGGCATGGCCGTCGTGCTGCAGCACTTCAAGAAGAACAGTGCTGTGGCGATCGGTATCGCCTTCACTGGATCCTCAATCGGCGGTATCGTCTTCCCGAGTGTGTACCACGCGATGGCTCAATGTTTCAACCAATGACTGACGCATATATCTAGTCATGATCAACAATATCTTCAACGACGTAGGCTACGTGTGGGGTGTCCGCGCAGCAGGATTTTATGTCCTCGGCGCGACCGTATTCGCCAATCTGCTCATCAGGCCTCAATATGCTCCAAAGCACACCCAGCAACCTGCACCTAACATCGCTACCTTCCTCAAGGACCCGCCGTACATCTGCGCAGTGGCGGGCGCAGCATGTGTCGCTTTTGGTCTTTGTGAGTAGCTGGGTTGTACATATATGCGCTGTCCCTGACTTCTTGGCCAGTCTTCGTCTGTCAGTATCACCGGTACAGAGAGGGAACGCAGAACTAACTCAAAGATCAGATTTCTACATCCAGCTATACACCCTTACCCGGGGCGGCATCTCCCAGAACTTCTCGTTCTATACCGTGCGTCCTCTTTCCCACCCCCAATTCCTCATCTGACCCGGGTACAGCTCGCGATCGTCAACGGTGCATCTATCTTCGGTCGTACGATCCCCAATATATTCGCGGACAAGATCGGGATTACGAAGGTGCTGATGCCCATGAGTTTCCTCTCCGGAGCGCTCGTGTTCGTTATGTTTGGACTGCATAACGTAGGCGGGATCACCATTTTCTGTATTCTGTAAGGATATGCGCATATATCTACCAAGAGTGATGCTGACCCATTTCAATCTAGATACGGCTTTATCACCGGAGCCTGTGCGTCAATTTCTCTCTCCCTGCTACTCTCGCTAATTCAACCCCAAGACGTATCCATGTCCGGTCCTTTCTTCGCAGCCATGGCAGACCACATGGGAGAAATGGGTGCCCGCATGGGTCTCGCCCTCGCCCTCGTCGGCATCGCGGCGCTAGTCGGTACACCGATCGACGGTGCCCTTCTCGGCAACGGGCCTGAGTACAGCTGGTCCAGAGCAATCGTCTTCACTTCTGTAACTTCATCTATTGATCTGTGAAACGCATCTGACCTTCGGGCAGGTGATGATGATTGGCGGAACGTGTATCATGACCGTGGGCGCGTGGCTGCTGGCTAAGAAGAGGGGCAAGTGGGTGTAATTACTTGGATGGTAATGGAGAAAAAGACCGCAACGGTCTCGGTTGTAGCCTTATTTTATTTGCAATTCATGTGGTACCTGTCGCGGACAATCCAATAAGTAATCATGCATTTACTGATCAGAGGGTGATGCGATCAAAACGAAACATGATGATGAGAGGGAACAGAAGACTTGTTTGCATCATTTGATGGTTCGACTAATTTTCATCGCTGTCTTTTGAAACGGCTTGCTTTTGCATATTTTCAATCAATGATTGTATATGATAAATGTTTGTAATGACTCTATCAGGTGCAAATGCTGGTGACAAACAACGTGTTCGTTACGGAATGAAAACCTCCGCCCGCATTGCACATCTTCAAGTTTAGTCTATTCGCCAACGCACTCAATTCCGCACCTCCGAGCGCCTCGCACAGCAACATGAACACATTAAGAACAGTACAGCGCCTGCGTCTGACCGTTCGCGTTCACCTCAAGTCACAAACTCGGTTCTATGCAACGCATAGAGATGCTTACCCGACGTCGACCCCACCACCTACTGGCACTCCGTCGCTGCTTTCCCAGCTCCCATCAAGGTCAGACACGAGCAACGTCGGACCGTTTGCGCTGCAGCTGGATAGGAGCCCTGCAAGTTCAGAGGATACAAAGCCGTGGTCGCAGTTGAATGCTGCTCAAAGGGGTGCGTATGAACAAGGATAATTTCTCTCAAAGCTTAGTTGAGACAGTGAGGCGCACGACCGCGAGGACGACAAACTTCAGTGTCATCATTGCCGGCGCAGGACTGAGTGCTATCATCGTATATGCGCTTGCGACCGAGCTTTTTGCACGAAACTCGCCGACAGTGCTGTATGGCGAAATCTGCGAGAAGCTGAAGGCATCCTCTCTCGTGAGCCTTCGACGTCTATTGTGCTGCGTATACGTTAACTTCCAGTATTAGATCACATCCCAACTCCATCCTCCCCTCATATTCCACAACAACCCCCCGTCCCTCCACGTACCGCGACATCGTGGTCGGCAAGTACCGGCTCAGATCGTCGTCGACTCTGCAGGGCGAGAGCACCTCATCTTCCGGTTCTGGGTCGAAGGCAAGGGTTCGCGACCGACGTTGGCATCTGAACCGCCAGACGATCCTGAGGATCCACTGTGGGATCGAGCGCTAAAACACGCACGGAAGTTTTCGGTGAAAGTAGCAGACCAGTCACGGAGGGCATTCGCTTTCTTAGTGGGAGAACCGCTCCCTGCTGCTCCGACGACGCCGAAGACTCTTCCAGCGCCTGCCGAGCCGGTGACGGAGGAGAAGAAACCGAGCGGGTGGGGTATTGCGGGAATGTTTAGCGGGATAAGAGGGAATATGGGTGGGAAGAAGAAGGCTGCACAAGCACTCGAACTGGATTTCGAGGGTGAGGTACATGTCGATATGATCAAGGTGCGTCTTTCCGCACGGCATCCGTCGGAACATACTGAATGATAATCAGAACGAACGGGGTGACTTCGTCTATCAACATCTATTCGTGGACATTCCCAGTGAGTACTCCAATTCTTCTACGTGTTTTCAATTGACATCCCGTCCAGGCACACGGTCTGCCAGGGCAAGACGGATCTACATCGAGGGTACGCCGAAGAGCGGGCAACAACAGATAATATGGCAGTAGGGAAAGCACATCGAATTGAATTATAATGGTCCGTTTGGTCGTCTTGTGCTATACCAGTATACCAGGTTGTCTGCTGCTCGATCAATCCAAGTGTATTGCGAAGACAAATATTTGCTAGATTGCATCTCAAGCGCATAGATCACTTGGTCTGTCGAGTTCGGTATCTACACCCAGCGTTTCTGTCTCTTTTGCTGGAAAAGGTAACGTGTTAACGTCATCAGGCATGCTCCAGTCAGCAGTGTGGTCTGGCAGATCGCTCAGCAATCAATATCGCTGCATTCACGCGGGCTTTTGCTCACCCCGCTGAAAACGATTGCTTTCCACCAGCTGTAGTTAGGGCCACTGCCGATCAACGCTCCGTTGATTGGGGTGCCGGTGAGGCCGGCGACGCCCATAACAAAGAAGGCGAGACCCATGCGAATTCTGCTTGTGGTCAACAATGTCTTCCCCAAAATGTTATGTGGTCTTACCCGACTTCTGCCATACTATCGGCCATCACGGCCAGCATGGGTGCAAACAGGCTGAAAACTGCGCGCGACGTCAGGTCGTTCCCGTTGCCCTACACAAACCCATCACGCACCTGCCCCGGAGAACACACCGTACAAGACGGAGAATGCGATCAAGCTTCCTTGGTCCTTGATACCGAACAAAGCGAATATCAGAGCTGCGCTGACGAACTGGCTTGGTATTTGACAAGTGATCGGTCCGAACCGATCAGCGAATACGTTTGGCACTACTCTGAATCAGGGGACATCAGTCGCGTAGACCAGCATAGATAATGGTGACACTGACCGACCGAGGATGGAGCCGGCGTTCGTGATGGCGATCTGCACATGATCGTAAGAAAACATGCCTCGAGCCTGATAAATTGGGAGTTTTACCGTATAAAGCGCAATAGTCTGGTCAATTCCATGAGAGGTAGCGTACAACTCCAGGTAAAAGACTAAAAAAAGAGATCAGTCATGGTACTGGGCACCATGGGGAAATGCGAATGCCAACATGGGAAGACTGTTGACAAATTGATTAGCCAGATTTAGAGATGTTGCGGATACACTCACAGAGGCCCCAACCGCTGCAGAGCGCGGAAAGCATGCTGAAGGTGTACACGCGGTCTTGCAGAAGTTTAAGAATGCTCGGTTTTGCCATTTTCTTATGCGCCGGATTATAGTGAGGTCGCATCAAGAGGTTGGCGAGGGCTAGCAGTCCAAGGAGAAGAAATCCGGCAGCACGAACACCCCACCTGAAGCCGTTCTTCTGGAAGATGTTGTTTACGAGAATAGGAAATATAACACCCCTTGAAAACGTTAGCCGTTGTCCTCTTCAAATGGGAGAAAGAGCTTACCCCAATGCCGAGCCTGTGAATACGATCCCGATTACCAGTGCTCTTTTCTTCGCAAAATGGTGCGCAAGTACGGCCACTGAAGGTAGGTACATGAGGCCCATAGCCAAGCCTTGTCCAACTCCTTGGGATAAGAAATACTATATAGCATCATCAGTATAGAGCCCTAGAAGAGGTCCCAAACTTACTTGGTAATACTGGCCCGGTTGGGCAGCGCTCAGAGCAAAGCAGCATCCGATGTGCAACACACTACCGACCAGCATAGTTGCTCGGAATTTGTGAGCGTCAAATAGCCTGCCTGACACAATGCTCATAGAAAAGAGAAGGAAGATTTGTATGCCCCCGATCCATGCGATCTCGGAGGCTGAGTAGTTGGGCAGGAGGTCTTCGACGTAAAATGCTTGGAAAACACCGAAGCTTGCCATATACCTGTGTGGTAAGACTCTTGTGAGCTAGTTGTAGACAACTAAATATAAATCTTGCTCACCCAAACGTTGCGATCATGACCAGCCATGAACCCAGCACTGTTCTCACATCGATCGGAACTCATGATGGGGATGTCACGTGACGAGCGCACCTGTTGACCATGCCTTCAGCCCTCCGTCTGGTATGACATGTACGGTTTGCACGACTCCAAGATCCTCTTTTCCGGGATCAAGTATTATTTGTGGTCCGCTTTCTAAATCATTGGATTCGGCACCAATCAACGTGTTGGTTCGGGATACGCCAATGGCTTCCCGAGATGATGGTTTCTCGTGGTCGGACATTGGGAAACTTCAAGTATGATGGAACTGAGCTTGGGGGGCGTCTTGGGGACGTTAGAAAGGAGGTCTGTAGTCTTGAGTTTTTCTCATCGCGCCTTTTATCACAGCGAATTCCATAATTTATCCCTAACGATAGAGAAGGCAATTGCCTTAGTCAGCCGATTGTGAGCGACGGCATCAAATGGCTTTTGGCTGAGTAAGCCCGTTCCCTCCAAATTAAGCGGCTGATAGATCTCGGCGAAAGATTAATGACGTAAGTTTCGTCTTGTGCTGAGAACCGCAAGGAAGAGCAGCGTTTGACACTCCCAGTCTCCCAGATCTGGCTGACGGGCTTTCCCATTCAGGTTGCTCGGTCGCGGTCCGTCCGTGGAGCAGAGTTGTTACATTTGCACATTGTGGGATGTTGACACAGAATATTCGGAGTAAAGCGAGAAGAAAATTGCACGGTCCCAGGTTCGGGGATCACAGTAAACTCGGGGCTCCTTCACTCGTCATGATCATCTCCTTGGTTCGTGCGACCGCTGCTGTCCCAGCCATGATCCCGACTAGAGCCAGACACATATTCACTAACGAGTTGGTCCAGCCGTTCGGGTGAAGCCGCATATTCCCTTTCGCGGATGGCCATAGCATATGTGGCTGACATGACAAAGTGAGTCTTCATGGATTCACGGAATGGAACACAATCCGCCAGTACTGACCATCTTCCATCTTGCGTAATGAGCTTGTGGTGGCTTTCTGCTTTTGATCCAATCCCTTTATTTGCGGTGCGAAAGCTTCGAATTCTGCCTCGCTGGTCAACATACGATTTAAGTTGGAGATACGACTTCGCCCACTTGCTCGACAGTCCCGAACGAAGTCACATACAACACGCGCTCGTATTCTCCCTCCAGGCGTGGTAATGGCGGATATGGCGTACCGCATCAGTTCGCCCGTCAGATCGGAGATTCCAAGGAGGTAATCAGAGGGTGGCAAGGGGAAATACTGTCTGGAATGAGATTGGCAAACTCTAAAACACGACACCTACTTACTGGTATACCAGAGTCATCAGAGAGATAAGCTTGGATATCCGCATAGTGGACGAGAGCGTTATGTTCCAAGTAGTATGCAAATCCATATGCCTCGATGAACTCTTGCAATCCAGGTGCACTGCAGTCGGTCAGTACGAATGCCCCGGTAGTCACATCCATTCCCACATAGACCGCTGGTACTTCCAAAATTCATTCCCTCTCAGGTATTCTCGTGCGTTCTCTAACATACTCTTGATTTGTTTCAGGCACTCATATCCCTGCTTCGCAGCAACGAGACTCTGCTCTCGCTCGATGCCAGGCGTGTTGGACGGGTCGCTCATCAGTCGATGAAGCATGAAGATGCATTTCTTCGATAGGGCAGTAATGTCTCGGGAGAGCTTCACCAGGACTTCCCTTCTGTCGTACTAAGTGAAACGATTAACATGGACGCGACAGCGCACGAGAACGGGCGCATACAAATTCGTCGAGCACTTCTCTGTGGCCGTTGAAGGCCTCCATGATCATCTCTCTAGAAGATGAGCTTGGGTGCACAGCAGCTGCCATATTAAATGTTCTAGGTATAGCAGGATGGGTTCCAAGCAAGAGTTGCAAATAGACCCAATGGGATGGTCAAGCTGAGAAGCGCCCGAGGGGTCCAGTCAGAAGCGCGCATCCTCATTCATCACCGATTGCTTCCGCCCAACTTCACCTGAACAACGCGCCCGCCTCACGTCTGTCGTGCGACCTCCTTTCTCCTGTTACAGTATCCCTTCATAACCTAGGCCTGTTCTAGTGCGTCTCTCATCGAACACTATGACTGTCACAGTATTGATTAAATCTCCAGAAGTTGACAAGATGGTCCTCTACTCGCGGACACACATGGTCTCATGGGCGCTGTTGAAGGAACTCATTTGTGTTGAGTCGTTCTACACGTTGTCATGGGGCACACTTTTCGGAATGAGTACGCGTAATCCTCTTCTGTCTGAGCTAACGTGACTGAGACGTCTCGTTAGCTATATGGGTGACACTCATTGGTAACTCCCTGGCTGTGAAAGCAGTCCGTGAGTGGGCTTCAGTTGCATTTCCCGCCACTCGCTCACGATATTTACCCAGCTCGCGAGCCCTACCGGAGGCTGACGGCCAAGTGGTTCCCTACATACTTTGGCCTCACAAGTGCCCTCGGAACGGTCATGCTCGGCACATACTCGTACACGCACCCCGACACCATCGGATACATGTTCATCAAGCCCCTCACACCGGACGCGCTACAGGGTTGGGTGCTTACCCTCCTGACAGTCACGAACGCGGTCCAATTCTTCTATATCGGGCCTAGAACGGAGAAGGTCATGTTCACCCGTGCAGCAAAGGAACGCGCTGAAGGAAAGGCATTCAGCGATCCAACCGTGAGTGATGTACATCATACTTCCGTGGAGATTATCTGATCAGTCACTTCTTCTAATAGGCCTCGGACGAACTGCAAGCGCTTTCGGAAGAGTTCTTCAAGCTGCATGGATACAGCATGGTGTTGAACACCGTCTCCATCGTAAGTGCAACCGAATGTTCCGCGTCGTTCCCGATGATTGATTGATCCGTATCCGTCTACGCGGTTCAGGCTGCATTGCTCTTCCACGGGCTCTGGATCGGAACGTTTGGAGCAGCTGGGTACTGATGAAAGCATGTAAGAGGAGAGCATCTATTGCTACGAATTCGATACGACGATTCCTTGTATGAACAAAGAAATGGTTTCAATGAGCTAAATGGACCCTGGACGGCATGATGCCGTATCTGGATACTTACCCCGGCTCCGGGATATCCACCTCCACCAAAAAGCTTGAGGGGGTATCGGGCGCCCCCTTATTGAGAGAGCCTCGGTCGCCGTCGTGATGGTTTGCCCTGGCGACTGAGACACGTCTGGAAACTGTCCCTGCGAACGGCGAGGATGCCCATTTAGTTGATTGTGTCGGCCTCGGTGGACTGATGTTCTGTGGATAAATGATCAGCACTGCCCAATTCATCGATTGAGCTAAGCGTGCGTCCGGCATCGTGCAGCGCACAGGGGGAATTCCGCAGAGAGAGATATGGAAAGACGGAGAAAGAGGGACAGAGCCACGAAGTCGCGAACGGCACCGCGTCATGGGCGGTCCCTTCCAGAGTGTCAAAAGGTGCGACTCAGACTCCACCAAGGGGGTAAAAACACACGTAGCCTTTGCCTGCTAAACATAATCCGTCCCCATCACAATCGCTTCTCTCTCTTTCCACTTGATCAACACTCAATTTGTCCTTCTTCTATACCCCCCCAGCTTGGCTATCTGTCCTTTCCATTCTCCGTCTTAGAATGATCCGCGGGCTTGGCAAACTCAGGTACATTTTTTTTCGTCTCGCGGAACGTGCCTGGCTCATCAATCGCCCAATCATGAAATTTTAGAGAGTCGACTGCGAGACGTCTCGCGCGATGTGTATCAAGTGAGAGTGCAACCTCAGAGACGAAGAACCTCGTACCGGCTCAGACAAATCTGAGGGGAGAGTCTCTTCTGAACAATCCTCGGTTGAATAAGGTGAGCATCCGCCATCTCACTTCCAGGTGCATACACTCACCGTGGTGCAGGGTGCAGCCTTCAGTCGTGAGGAACGTGCGATCTTCGGTCTCGAAGGTTTCCTCCCGTACGACGTGCACACGATCGAGCAGCAGGCCAGCTCGCTTTCCTCGACCGGGCGTCTTCCCTATCCCGCTTACTCGCAGGCCAACAGGTCCAGCGAGTTCTCTCGCAGATTGACAAGCAGAACACACCTCTGCTAAAACATGTCTTCCTCGCCTCCCTTCGCGACCAAAACCAGGTGCGAACCTGTTCCCCGAGAGGGACTATATATTAACTGTTTTACGTAGGTTCTGTTCTATCGTGTTATGCAGGAACACCTGAAGGACTTCCTCGGCATCCTTTACACACCCACTGCAGGGGAGGCTATCCAGAGTTATTCCCGTCTATTCCGACGTGCATCTGGTTGCTTTATTGTGCGTAATCACTGTATCATGTCCGAGCAATGTCTGACACGCAAACAGAGCTTTCCAAATGCGGACGGTATGCGCGCACAGCTCGAAGCGCACGTCGATGCCATCGATAACAAGCCCGATGTGAACGACGCCGCGCCAGGACCCATAGACCTCGTCGTCGTAACAGACTCAGAGTCCATTCTGGGTATCGGAGACCAAGGTGTTGGCGGTGTAACGTGCGTACATGTACATAATGTATACCGCATATATGCGTGCTGATTTTCACCCTTACAGCATCTCAACGAGCAAGTCTGCGCTGTACACACTGGGTGCTGGCTTCAACCCGAATCGGTGCGTGCCGGACCGATCACGCGGCACAGGACCCATCTGACAGCATACAGCTTGCTTCCTGTTGTTCTGGATGTCGGAACAGACCGCTACGAGTGCGCTATGTAATAATAGCAGACTGCCAGGCGGCTGATCATTCTCTGTGTAGGCTATTCTCAGATCCCCTATATATGGGATGGAAGCACACACGTGTCAGGGGCGAGCCGTATAATCAGTTTGTGCATAAATTTATCAAGAATTGCTCTGAGCTGTTCCCTGGTGCTCTGATCCACTTCGAGGAGTGGGTTGAACTTCTATATTACCATCTTCTCTCAGTCTAACATTCTCCGTAGCTTCGGCCCCAATAATGCATATCGCCTCCTGGAGAAGTACCGCGACAAGGTACCGTGCTTCAATGACGATATTCAGGGTATGCTTCCTGCTTCTCGAATATTTGAGCCGTCCCTGACGGTTGAGAATAGGCACCGGTGCCGTCGCCTTGGCCGCTCTGATCTCAGCAGGCATCATTACCAAGACGAAATTGTCACAGCAGCGCATCGTGCTTTACGGATGCGGCAGTGCCGGCCTCGGTATCGTCAACCAAATCAGGGACGGTATGATGATGCTAGACGGCGTTACCAAGGAGGCAGCATCTCGCCAGTTCTGGTGCGTAGACAGGAACGGTCTGCTCCTGCAATCAATGGGCCCCAACCTTCGCCCGGGCCAGATGGAATACGCTCGCCCAGATCATGAGGTGTACGACTGGCCACACGAAGTCGAGGAGCAGGACGCTCTCCGGCTTATTGATGTCATTCGTGCGGTGAAGCCTACCGTCCTGATCGGAACTTCCACCCATGCCCGTGGCTTTACGGAGCAGATCGTTCGCGAAATGGCTCATTACGTCGAGAGGCCGATCATCTTCCCCTTGAGCAACCCCACGAGTTTGTGTGAACTGGATCCTCGTAAGCGCTCCTGCATTTGATCTCCTTAATTAAGCTCACTGGACATCAGTGGATGCGATGCACTGGACCGACTACCGTGCCCTAGTCGCAACGGGCAGTCCTTTCCCTCCTGTTCCCATGTCGGACGGCCGCCTGCTGAAGACAGCTGAGGCGAACAATGCACTGTGCTTCCCCGCCCTCGGCCTAGGCACGGTCATATCCCGTTCGCGTACCATGTCGCCGGGGATGATCATGGCCGGTGTGCATGCGCTTGCCCAGCTCTCGCCCGTACACGATAACCCCGATTCACCTGGCTCGCTCCTGCCCGACCTCACCGACGTCCGCCGCGTCAGTGTCAAGGTCGCTGCGGCCGTGTTGATGAAAGCGATCGAGGAGGGCCATTCGCACAAGGAGTTCAACTTTGAAAGCGAGGAAGACGTAGAAGAATATATCAAAAGGCGCATGTGGGACCCGGTGTACAGGCCCATCGAGCCCGCAGACGGTGAGGAGCGCCGTGTCTCCTGGTAGGTCAGACCGTGAGAGTGGGGAGTGGTGAATTTCTTGAATTTGACAGTCTTTCATGCAAAACATCTACTCATTTTGGTAGGACATATTGTATTTGTGTACACAAGAAGTCACTCTTTACTAATTGCTGTTTCCTGACGGTGAATATAATGTTGTCCTTTCATCACGTCCGATGCATCAAGCCTCAGCATATACCCACGGTTATTTCGAATGCAATCTTTTCGTTTCACAACCAGGAGATATTTCAAGAGAATTGAGACGGATGTAGCCAAATACATTGAATTGGTAGTATATTGCAGCAGAACAGACCGATTGTAGACAAAGAACGAAAGAAGACGAATACCAACACACGTCACTCCTACAACGCATACCATACACACGCGCATACACCCACAACGTGTCTCCATTACTCCCCATCCCGACTCCTCGTTCGTTCATGGCTCACCCTATGGCCCGGACTCAGGCGCACACTGCTCTCCGGTACCCTGGCATACGCAGCCTCTCGCGGGGAAAGGGAAGCACGTTCCTCCACAGCAGGGGAAAGATGTGGGCGCTTAGAGGGTCGGTCTTCCTGTCCCTGAGCGGACGGTGTAGGGGTAGAGAGGGGGGCGGGATCTAGCAGCCCGCGCAGGGACATGGGGGACGATCGGGTTGGGGGTGAGGTTTTCTCTCCCGAGTCGAAGGCATACTGGGCATACACAGGTGAGCGCGGGCGTTTCCCCAGTGCTTGAGGAGCGGGGGGCATGGGTGGTGAGCGGCTGCCAAGACCTGGGGGGGAAGAGGTAGACGGAGAGGGGTAGGTGTGATCCTGCGCTGTGTAGGCGACGGAGCGCTCGATGGTGTGGGGTTTATCGGGATAGAGAGGGTAAGGGTGGGGGAGGGAAGAGTGTTCGGGTGGAGGGGAGAGGGGGAGGTCATATTGTAGATGGAGGAGGGAACGGTGGAGTGCCATTTGGTGTGCGATCCTCTGCCGTCTAGATGAGCATGAGAGGGTGTGAGGGAGAGATATAGACGCACGTTATCCTCTGCTGTCTTTGCTGCCAAGAGGGTGAGGAGGAGCTCGCGATCTTCCCGCCCATTCTTGGAGTAGGCGGTGAGGATCTCTCTCACGCTTGGAGGTAGGGGTTGGGAGAGAACGGACACTGCCCAGTCGAAGGATGTCTGTTCTGGAGGACATGAAGGGCAGCGTTGAGCTATAGGTTGATGATGATGCTGTGGACGGGGAGGAGGAGCAGCAGTCGCCATGGTGGAGAAAGCGGGGGAGGAGAGGGATGCATTGGATGAAAGAGGGAGAAAGGGGGGGTTTATGAATAGTTCTTGTGCAGTCTTGGCGGTATGGCCCAGCAGGCGAACGTCGGAGAGGGAACACGGCGCAGTATCAAGTGTTGCCACTTTCTCTCTTGGCCAAAAATAACGAAAAAGTCTTGGCATCAATTCACTCTATTGTATCGCCTTGTTTTAGGCAGAGATGTTCATCAGCCACAAATAAATTTCCCCTTTTTTATATCGAGTATGAAAATTCACTCCTAAGAATAAACATCGTCAATAATCATAGCAATCTTCCATGAAATCACCTTCGGAGTAATGCGCTGTCCATCTCTCTCCCCCGTCAGAGTATTTCTTGGCTGCATCAACACCCCGGTAGATCAGCCTCCGCTAGGTGTACAGGCTTGCATAAAAGCCCACCCGTAACATCTCACCCGTTTTAATTCCATATCCCACTCGACTGTATTCGAGCCAGAAATAGACCGCACGCCATGTTCCGTTTGAGAGATCGTCAGCGCTGCGACATTTGAATTTTTATGGCATCGAGTGTTGAATGAAAGGGGTCATGCGAACACACCGCCAAGCCCACGGATACGGATCATTTTGAGCAAATTATTATTAATCGCATCATGCTCATGCACAGGGCCACAGATCTACAGAGGTGAGCGTATGTGTCTCCATCGCCTGATTTCAATCCCGACCGACGGGCGGTGTCCCCCTCTCCCATCGTTTCCGCCCACCGACACTACCACTCACTGCGCACCATATATCCAAAGTCAACCATCCCGAAAATACCTCTCCATCACATACCCGCCAAGCTCACGCACGGCCCCCACTCGATCCGGCCTAGCCACCCTAGCGGTCATCCTCTTGGCACGTTCGGCACCCAGACCCGCGCTTTATTTAGCCCACAATCACGTATCAGAATCAGAATCAGGGGTCGTGACTTCGTCGGAAGTACTGCCCATTCTCCGCCTCCGCACGGCGTTCTCTATTCCGCACAGACGGAAATAAGTTGAAAATGTATTATTATATGGATTTCTGCAAACGGTTGATAAGCCTGCTACAAAACCCCGGTTTTCCTCCTTGGCAGGGTTGGGACTGTCCACCCGAGTGCTAAGCCACCTCTTTCAACTTCAGAGTCACGCAATCCCAAATTCAATAAACCAGCTGGCGGTAGGAGGCCCGAGCGCCCCCGCCAAGGCATACGTTGGTATTATTAGACCTTCAACGACCCAACCCAGAGCAAAGCCGTTCCAATCCGAGCAGGCTATATCGCGATACGATAACCACCACACCCTGTCGCTATTCTGAGCTTCGGGGTGGCACCATCCTGGTTGCACACATCGATCCCGACCATATGCCTAGAGGAGGGAAGGGCAGAACTGTACAATTCTAGATCTCTGTGTCGGGCGATGCAGACCCTGCCTTGGCCTTCTTCAGAATGCATAGGTTGTTCTGTCTGTCAGCAACCTGTCCCCGGGCCGGGAATTGTCCTCCCTTTGGCAGAGTATTATTGGTGTGTTCGTGTGCCTGTGGGGCGTTATTGTTAAAAATAGCTGGTCGTTCCCGAGTAATGCACCAAGTGGGGTAAGACGAGAATAACTTACACCACTCTTCTATTTATATACTGCCAGCTCGCGGCCAACAGCTCATGCCAAGCCTTTAACACACACGCGAAGCCCAAAATAGCCCTCTCGGCAGCTTATCACCATCGTGGCGTTGCCAAGAATAGCCTCAGACCGAGGGCCGACGACGCCGTGGGCTTGGCGCGAAAGGCGGAGCTCGAAAGGCACGGAAATAGGCACGGAAACTGACGCACTTATGGCAATATTTAATTTGACGAATGACAGAAAATAAAGAGGGAATTCCTCCGATGCCCCCTCCTCGGAGATATTGCTCCCACAATGCCCCTCCGGAGGCAAATGCTCAGAATGCCCTCTCCTTCTCGTGCTCACATAGCTTGCAACTTCCATCACATGTCAAGAGGGCAAGAAGGGTAAGCTCGGGGTCCTGTCACCATGGACCGGCTAAACGTATCTCAGAGCAGCAAAAAGGGTGAGAAAAGTTAGAAAGAAAACTGGCAGAGTTTTTTGAATCATGTTCTGTTTATTTGACTCTTAATGCTGATGCATTGTCACGAATATATATATTAACTGTGGCAAACAGATAACAGGACCCCTGTAGCATTGACTTGTTCCTGCACCCAGATGGGTGAAAATGCTGGGCGCTATGTGACATGCAAAGGAGAGGGCATTCTGCACATTTGCCTCCGGAGGGGCATTATGGGAGTAATATTTTCGAGGAGGGGGCACCGGAGGAATTCCCTCGAAAAAAAATTATGGATGGATGATTGCCAGGATTAGTATGGCTAAGGTAGGCCGACGAAAAATGCTGTCAATGACTGATATCTGGACACGTTGTGATGAACCTGAATAGCGCTGGGTACTGGCACCGATCATGACTGTCTCCATGGAATTGCTGTTGGGTGTCTAACACGATCGCTCGTTATACCCACCGCTTGTTCTTCTTCCTGAGTAACGACCATCCCACCACGAGCAGCCCACAACCAGCTAACATCGTCACCTTGCGCTGTCTATCAGCAAATCATCCGTGCACAACAAATTCTTGACTGACCCCGCTAAAAAGAACAGCTTTCCACCAAGCGTACTCGGGCCCTCCTCGCCTAGGAGCGCACCGTCGATGGGTGTACCTATAAGGGCCGAGAAGCCGAGGAAGACAAACGCCAGGCCCATGCGCAATCTAAGAGGATATTTAAATGAGTAGGTCGGACATGGTGGAAACAGAGGCATACCCGATCTCGGAGAGGTTGTCCGCCATGGATGCGAACATCGGCCCAGCTAGAGAGACGTCTACCCCAACAGGTCAGAAGTCGTCGGCAGTTCACCATAGATCAGCTTACATGCACCTGACCAAAAGCTATACCTGGATACATGCTTGCATGAGCTACATCTTGCTCAGAATGGAAGACTGGGCGGCTTACATGATACAAACGATGACGAGACCAGCGACATTCTTAACCCCGAGCAGGGTGAATACTAGAGTGCCTGCGATGACCGAGCATGGTATTAGAACGGTAAGCGGTCCGAACTTGTCAGCGAGTAAGTTGGGCAGCGTCCTGTTTATCTCCTTAGCTCGACTGTTGATTTCACGGGACGATGGCTTACCTTCCGAAGATGGAAACTGCGTTGATTATGGCCAACTGGTATGGGCGTGAGCAAGTAACCACGTGCACAGAAAATCAGGACTCACTGTGTAGAAGGCCACAGTGTCCGATATGCCAACGGTTTCAGCATAGAGTTGGATATAGAAGACTGAAGCTTGTCTCAGATATTTGCAAAGAACACCTAAAACGGTGACGAACAAATGAAGTCTGTTCATTATTAGCATGGTCATCCCCAGCGTTCAAAGAGCACTGGACATACAAAGTCCTAGACCGATTGTCCACGTTCCAACCACCGCAACGACATGGTATGTCTCGTAGCAACTTCAACGGGCTCGGCGGCTTCATCGCCTTCTGGTACGGGTTATAATTCGTTGACATCAGCAGGTTGGCAATGATCATCGCTCCGAGTTGGAAGAATCCCATGGCTCGCACGCTCCATTGAAAACCGCGTGATTGGAAGACGTTATTCAAGAGAACTGTGCGGGTCAACCACCTGAAAGCCTGGACAGGTAAATGTATGCGTACTGGGGAAGACTATACCTCTGCACCATATCAGCGCGCGATCTGCATGAGACATGATAGGACGTACCCAAAGGAAGACCCAGCGACAGCAACTCCCGTCGCGGTACTTCTGTGTTTCTGGAAATGTTGGCCAAGGACAGCCAAAGACGGCAGATACACAATTCCAAGCCCTACCCCTTGGCCAATGGCTTGCGATAGGAAGACCTGTTCATCGATCAGCTTGATTTGTAAGAAGACTCACAATCGGAGTACCTGATAATATCCATCCACTTGCACCGCGCTTTGTGCAAAGATGCAGCCGACAACGAGCACGCCGCCACCTATCATCATTGGCCTGAAATAGCCTGCATCGAAAAGACGTCCGGTAACAAGGCCGCAGAGAAACAGAAGACAGGTTTGTAGTGATCCGATGCAAGAGATTGCGCTCGGCGAGTAGGATGGAAGCAACGTTTGAACGTAGTACGCTTGATATACTCCGTAAGCATTAATATAGCCGAACGTACACATGCTCATCAGAAAGCTCCTAGCCACTGTGCATAGAGCCAATTATTAGCTCCAAGAACCGGAACATTGAATAAGATAATGCGCACCTGTTGACCATGCCCGCTATCCCCCATCAGGAATGATATGCACGTATTCTTGCTCTTCTGTTTTGGTGGACAAAGTGTTTGCATCGTTTTCTTTGATTTGGGGCGTCGAGCTACCCAAATCCTCTCGTGCCTCTATAGGAATGGCCTCCTTTGCCGCCTCCTCAGCCATCAGGGGAAGAAGTCGCTGTGATATTGGTGGGGGCATACGAGACATTCGCCTCGGCTTAAGTAAGAAATAGAACTGCGAACCTTCCCCGGCGAGGTCGAACGCGCCGGCAATTCCAGTTACGATTTCACCGACAGCGCCGTGTCCATCGCACGCGGCAGCACTGGTTCTATGGAGTAATTCCAGCGTGGCTGATGGTGCGCATGTGTGCCATGCATTCAACGAGATTGCACATGATCGACGTTCGAAACGTTTGGATAAAATGGAATCGCACAGCAGAAGACCGGGCGCTAAATGCGGTGGCTGAGCAACTTCTTTAGCGATCGGCGACCATAAGTCATTATTAATATTGTTATGATTTCTCCGTCGAAACTCCTCACTTTAATTTCTGCTTATATTAATGCGCGTTCTCATCATTGAAGCAACGCATGATCCGTTGACAAGACTGCAGGAACAAACACAAAAAGGCTCCACTCTTTGATCGTCTTGGTTCGATATAACTTCTAAAGCTGTTTGGAACTGATTGATCTCTTCAGTCGAATCTGTACTTGCCGCCTCGCTTCTTCGTACCACCACACCGAAAATACCTCGAGCGCGGGTGATTCCGGGAAAATTCACCGAGCAAACCCTCGACTGGTAGACAACGGATGCTGATTCACGAGGACTCGGTATTCGTATATCACACAGGATATCTCTGAATAACACATAGTGAACAAGAGCGCGTCATCTCAGAATATATTCCGATTCCTACCGGGTCCCTGGCCATGCCATAGCCATCGTTTGTGTTGCCGTCTGTGCGTGTTCCGTCTGAGGAACGTGCTCGGCAGAGAAGCGAACATACATCCCCAGGTCTAGAAAACGTCCTGTGCATGCATGTCACCGTGGTTCTCAGAGACAACTTTGAATACAGAGAAGAAACCGGAGCTGCACATACCCAACTTACAATGGAAACTCGTGCAAGTTGAACAGGGACGAAAGTCTGTAGGTATGAAAACAAAGAGCAATCCCCTGATATTGGGTCCGGCTCATCTGCCTACGTCGCAATTCCGGGGCTTGATATCAGCGCAAGGGCGGTTGTTGATGCCAGCTTATGCTCTCTGGAATGAAGAAGCGCATCCAGCTCACGTCAGAGCTTTGGGGTGAGAGTCTGCTTCAGCACCTTACACCGGTATGTGCAACAGGCCCGACATCTGTGTATCTCTGAATGCACGGTTATCATAAGCTAATTAATGTAACGAATAGCAAAAAATATGAGTGGATGATTGTCGGGATTAGTACAGTTGATGTAGGCCCGCGAGAAACCGCTGTATATCTCTGATATCTGGGTGGCGTGTTGTGCTGATGAACCACAGGCAGTGGTTCCGTCGACACACTGGAACGATCGCTCATTATACCCACTGCTTGTTCACCTTCTTCCTGAATAACACCCAAGCCACTACAAGCAGTGCGCACCCAGACAGCATCGTCACCTGCCAGTCCATCAGCAAAGGCTATGATGATAAAGGACTAAGGACTGACTCCGCTGAAGAGGATCGCTTTCCACCAGGTGTAGTCGGGTCCATCGCCTAGCAGGGCACCGTCGATTGGTGTTCCGATGAGCGCCGAAAACCCAAGGAACGCAAACGCCAGGCCCATGCGCAGACTGAGGAAGACTATGAGCAGGTCAAGCGTGAGAGATGCGTAGAGGCATACCCGATCTCGGAGAGGCTGTCCGCCATGGAGGCATACATTGGCCCAACAAGAGAGACATCTACCCCCAAATATCAGACGTTATCGACACTTATCCATCAATCAGCTCACAGGCACCGGACCAGAAGCCATATCTGCGAGGAAGGATCTGTTGGTCATTGATTGGAAAAAGTGGACTACGGCACTTACAGGATACAGACGATGACTAAACCGCCAACATTCTTGATTCCCAGTACCGCGAAGACGATGGCTCCGGTGACCACCGAGCATGGGATAAGGACTGTGATGGGACCGAACTTGTCAGCAAGTAAGTTGGGGAGCGTCCTGTTCAATGACTTGGTTTAGATACACAGTTTGTGGGACGGGGCATAACTTGCCTTCCAAAAATGGAAGCAGCATTGATCATCGCGAGCTGACATGGGAGTAAGCAAGTAAATGCGCTCAGAAGAAAGCGAGCATACGGTGTAGAACGCGACAGTGCTTGAGATGCCCACGGTTTCAGCATAGAGCTGGATATAGAAGACTACATGCCATCTCAGAACTATCAAGAAGGATGCGATGGGCCCGACGAACAAACGAAGTCTACGCAATGTCAGTACAATCAGCCACCGAATTCAAAGGGCACTCGACGTACAAAGCCCTAGGCCAATAGTCCATGCCGCGACCATGGCAACGAGATATGGCACATCTCGAAGCAGCTTCAACGGGCTAGGCGGTTTCATCGCCTTTTGGTGCGGGTGATAATGCGTTGACATCAACAGGTTGGCAATGATCATCGTTCCGAGTTGGAAGAATCCCATGGCTCGCACGCCCCATTGGAAACCGCGCGATTGGAAGACGTTATTCAGGAGAACTGTGCGGATCAACCACTTGAAACCCTGGAAAGGTAAATGTATGCGTACTGGGGAAGACTATACCTCTGGGACACATGAGCAGACGACGGGTACAGGGTATAGTAAAACATACCCAAGAGAAGAGCCGGCGACCGAGATACCCATCGCCGTGCTTCTGCGCTTCTGGAAATGTTGGCCGAGGACAGCCAAAGACGGCAGGTATACGATCCCCAGTCCCAGGCCTTGACCAACAGCTTGCGAGAGGAAGACCTTTATGACAATATTAAACTTGAACTTCAGTTAGATTCATGATTGGCGTACCTGGTAATATCCATCCACTTGCACAGCACTTAGTGCAAAGATGCAACCAACAACGAGGACGCCTCCGCCTATCATCATTGGCCTGAAATTGCCTGCGTCAAACAGACGCCCGGTAACGAGTCCACAAAGGAACAGAAGACAGGTTTGTAGTGATCCGATCCAAGAGATTGCGCTCGGAGAGTAGGATGGAAGCAACGTTTGGACATAGTACGCTTGATATACTCCGTACGCATTGATATAGCCGAAAGTACACATGCTCATCAGAAAGCTTCCAGCCACTGTGCATGTCCAATTATCAGCTCCAAGAACGAGAACACTAGGTAAGATAATGCGCACCTGTTGCCCATGCACGCCATCCTCCATCAGGGATGATGTGCACATACGGTTGCTCTTTGGTCTCTGCAGACAAACTGTTGCCAGTTGTGCCATTTTGGTCGGTCTGCGGAGTTGTTGCCTCCCAATCATCTCGTACCTCTAGGGCAATAATTTCCTCAGCCGCTTCCTCGGCCATTATGAGCAAAATTCGCTAGGAGTGTACGGTAGTTGTATGATGGGGGTCGGCGAACAGTCGTTGGTCCCATCTTAAATAAACTTAAGGGACGGGCGCTCAAAACGCGTCGGTTGTGATCACAACGGCCCACAGCTCCGCATTAATGACCGGCCTCGGCAGCGAGCTCTGGCGCTCAAGTTGAGTCATCTGCCGTGTTGTGGACTGCATGCGCAAAGAGAAGACTATCTGGTCGTAGTGATGACGTGAGCTTCTGAATACCCGCCAATTCCTCGGGATTTCGGGGATTTCTTCTCTCGCTGCGGATCACAATCCCGATAAGGCATCTTCGCAAGATAAAAAGGACAGATCTATTTTTATCCATCGGTCTGCTTACACTTTACAGCGATAGATCAGATTAGATAAAACAACATCATTGGATGGAGCACATGGGCGCAAGACTCGTCCGCGTTATAGGACGCCAAGAAGAAAGGCCAACCGGCGTACGGTACTCTACGGGCAGTTCAATCGCACTTTTGATGAAAGCAATGCCTTGCGGAACAAATTGGGTTGCGGTTCGCTCCCAACTCACCTCAGTCCTTACCCACTACCTGGGTTTGTTCTAATCAACGAAATGACCCGACGCCTGAAATTAACCGCCGAAATTCTCTATTTCACCGGCCTGGTGACAGCGCATGACTCACAGCCTGGAACATGAGATCTTCTTTCAAGCGTAGCCGGGGCCACGTCTAGTAACACGTCACCTCTCGTCATGTCAAAATCAACCGGAAATTCTTAGAAAAACCCAGGGGCAGGTGAAGGCATAGCTCATTCTTGTGCTATAACGGTCTATGCAGGGACATCTGACCCCACTTCAACATGTCGAATGGGCTCTCTCTCTGGAAGATGGCGGGCAGGACGCTCGCGAATGACGAGTCTATAATACAGCGAATCTCAGTCTACCACGAGCATCGGGTGATATTCTGTTCCAAGCGGGAGGTCATTGAGCCCAGGTCGGTAAGAGGCGGACCAAGTGCTATCACACATACTTGCTCTCATCGCACAAACAATAAGCTCACATGATTCGCAAACATTGAAATAATAACGACATGAGTATTGCGCCTACATAACACATGGGAGCAAGATGCCTACTAAAGCTACAAGATTCGGACTAACGACGCCTACCGGCTACTGTCTACAGTATATGGGTATGAACGTGAGTGTTGGGGTAACGGGGCGTACGTCAGAGTAGAAAACGAGAACATAGGGCAAAAGGGGTTAGGAAGGGAGGAAGGGAAAGGTAGGACGAAGAAACTTGGTCGTAGGGAAGGAAACGTGCTTGTATTATTTGTTTCGCGTCACTGGGCCGTTCGTCGACAGGCGGTGCACGAAACCAGTCTTGTCTTCCTGGGCCGAGAGCAGGGATCAAACCCACCCTCCTTGCTCCATCAAGTCCTCCGGAGGTTCCTCAACCTCTACGACGCTCTCTAAGCTCTTCTTAGCTTTGTCGCTCGGCGGTCTTCCGTAGAGCGCTTCCCTCCGCCTGGCCATCCGCTCTTCGTCATAGTCCTCCACTGAGCCGGCATAAGGACTAGAAGGGGGAAAGATAGGAGTCATGAGCATCGTTTGCTGCAGACTTCGCACTGAGCGACGCGTATGCGCCGGGGAGGAGAGAGCACGGGAGAGAGAGAGGGAGTGTCCATTGGGGCCCCAAAGAGAGGCGACGAACTTGCTTATACTGACTCTGGAGAGGTCTGCACCGCGCTTTTCGAGAACGTTCACGAAGGACTTGAAGTGCTGCTTCATGATTAGGAATGCTCATCCCCAAATATTTAATGGAGACGCACCTCGATAGAAGCCCGGTAATGCCCACTGAGGGGATTCAGGCTCTGCACCATCCCGTCTCCGACCGTGATTGTGCCAGCACTAGCGATGACTCCCCCCGCAAGGAAGCTCGTGTGCTGGAAGCTGCCTGAGCTCTTGAGCCCTATGTACAGTTCGTATTGGGCGCTGGCGACATAGATCCAGGTTTCTTTCTTGAGTTTCAGCCTCCGGGAGAGGGTTTTCCTGAGCAAGTGCTCGGTGAGGGACTGGCGGAAGTTCTCAGAGGCGTATTTCTGTCCAGGGTCGTCGTCGGATGCGCCGAAGGAACTCATACGCCGAGGAGAAGCAGGTGTAGGGGGGGAGCTGGACCCAGGCTCACTATCGTTCCCCTCCGAAAGGGAGTCGTATCCCATCTGAGCGGGCTCCACGCCCCTCCCCTCGCCTGTGTCCTCCCATCTCCCCGGGGTAGTATCGACATACTCAGTATTATGCGCCCAACGCACCCGACCAAATGGGTCGATAGATGCGAGGTAGTGATACCGCTGCTCAGGGGTGAGATAGCGCACCGTCGCACTTTCTAGATGCTGCCGAGGGCATTCGGGAAGGGAGAGGTTCTTGCCTGCACCGCGGTCTAGCCAGCGGAAGAAGTTGTCCTCCGTGTCCTCGTCCACCCATCGTCGATGGTAGTACTTCAAGTTGCTGCCATATCTGCGCATATATATCAGAACTGTAGTTACGTGTGCTGCACAAGGCGTACCGGTGCTTAGGGTCGATCATCTCCAGATAATGCATTTCCTCGAGATGTCGCGTCCAAGCCTGTTCCTCCTTCTCCTCGCTCCCACCTGCACTCTCACTCCCGCTATCATCACTATCCGAATCGCTGTCATATGCCGTTGGAGCACTCTCGATTGAATGGTGGGAATAGAGTGCCGCGCGAGCAAAACGGGAGCGAACGTCGGTCTTCTCCTCTGGTCCTTGATAACCTGCCTAGGACGACGTCTCGTAAACACTCACCCCACAAGAAACACGACACTCCCACCTCTTTGATCCTGGCAAGAGCCTCGTTCCACCTCTCATTCGCATCCAGCTTAAGCTCCTTCTTGAGGTTGTGTACCTTCACCTGCTCTGGAGGAGTCACAGGTGAGCTCGTCCCGCTGACAGGGCTGCTAGGGCTTGCAGGACTCGCGCTCCCCAGCGTGGGGATGGGACTGATGCTACCCGAGCCAAAGTGACCCAACGGCGGTCGCTGCCATCTCTCGCTGTGGGCGAGGTCGAGTGTTCCGGCTGGATGTGTCCACATGCAGTGCGCGTGGTAGGAAGCGCCAGTTGTACGTTGTGCGATGTGGATGGTGAAGACGGGCGTATTCGTGCGCGAGATGATTGACCGAGGTTATAACTGTCCTGGAATATCTTGATTGTTTGATTGTTGATTGTCTGATGCTGTGCACTACAAAAGGAGATAGAACGGTCCTTCTATTCCCTCTAGCCCCACTCCAATACCGCAAGGTGATCATGCACAGATTGTGACTGCCGAAAAGAAGTCAGTACTCCTTCCATCTGCGACAATCCCCGCCGACCTTTTTCAATCGGCACCGGCGGTCCTCGGTAAATCTCCCGTAGATTCTATCTCTTTCTAATCCATGCAGTTAGTTGTACTATGTACTACTCCAGTGTAGTGAAGTGTAATTACCTTTCCCTGCCATCTCCCTTTGATCTTGTCTCGCATCTACTAATGCCGAATTAGCGGTAAATCCCATCAGTACGGCAGGTGACTTGTGCCAGCCTCGCGCCACAGGGACAACGGTCATCTCAGCTTTTTACGGCAACATTGTAGGGGTTCCGCGCGTCATTTAGTCGGATGTCCAGAAGTGGGGACGATCTTCTCATGGTTGAAGACATGACATGTGAATTACCATGCCGTTGTTTGCAGTCGCTATGACCGTCAAGTTAAAGGGGCGTAATAATCATCAATTTTACTCACTATGTATACAACCATATGAGCGATTACGCACTTCCCTTCCAGCCATGCTGTAAGGGTCCAAAGACGAAAACCAAGGGAACCTGTAGGATAGATCCATGGACGGGTGTTTTCCCCATGCTGGTAGGGTGAAGAATCCTGGGGCCCTTTAGGACAGCCAGATCATGCAGAAAGCTTACCCATACCATCTCACCCCCAGGAGTCTACACCCATGTGAGCCCTTTCTTCTGGTAACCCCACCTGCCTGCCACAAGTAAGTCACACGCGTGCGGGGGAGAATATGCGACAGAACGTACCCCAGAGAAAACGATCCCTTTCCACCATGCGTAGGGCCCGTACCCGATCAGAGCGCCAACTATAGGGCTGCCAGCCAGGCATGCTACGGCGAAGGAAAAGAATGTCACGCCCATGCGTATCCTGTGTGCGATTTAGGGGCATTGTGAGGAATCGGGAGAGACGGCTTTACCCGACTTCGGCCATACTATCGGCGAAGGCAGCTGCTATGGGTGGGTACAAGCTGATCACTTCCCCTTGAGCGTGAGTATCCCAGTGCGAATCGTTCAAGAAGGAACCAACGCACGAGCCCCCGAGAAGAACCCGTACAGGAGGCAGAAGGCGATCACCCCCGACTGAGTCTTGATACCCAGGAGGGTGAAGACGAGGCCGGTGCTGATGATGATGTTCGGGATTTGGCAGGTCATAGCCCCATACTCGTCTGCGAAGATGTTGGGTACGAACCTAACCAACGTTAGCATCTCCAGATATTTCGGAGAGGGCAACCGACCGGCCCAAAGCGGAGGAAGCGTTTATTATTGATAACTATCGGGGATGAGTTCATGGCGGGCTTGCGGCATTGGGAAGAGGACTCACTGTGTAAAATCTGAAGTTCTGATCCAGACCGAGGGTGATAGAGAACAGCTGGATATAAAAGACTAGAGCTTGTTCATCATGCACATCTATGTCTGACTAAGCACTGACATGGGAAGACTAGCAGAATGAATCAGCATCCTTCAGCAGATTGTGGATGTGAAGACCCACATATTCCAAGCCTGACACAGAACACACTCAACAAGCCAAATATATATGGGGGATCTGTGAGGATTTTCTTCAATCCTTTTTACCCTTGCCAACATTTTGCAGCAGACATCCGCCAATATCCTGCAGACCATAAAAGACATCTCGTCAACTACCCCCAAGCCTGACCCCAATTAAAAAAAAGAGTGGGCTTCATGCCCACCAGCTTGTCAAACAGTGCACACCTTACCTCCCGAATTCATCTCTCATTTTTTTTTGTTTCCCCAAGATATATCTACTAAGTCCACAGGTGGACTCAGTAGTATGGCAACAACACAGTCCTTACTGGAATACCTGCAATTTCCTATGACCTGCATGACTGAATTACCAATGTGAAAACATTGAAGTCATGACTTAAAGCACTCTGCAACAAATATCGGGCTGTGAGGGCACACAGTCAAGCAAGGCTGCTGACTATAACCTGACAAGATGACAAGATCAACAGTAAGACCAAACACCCTATATCAACAGGGGTATCAGTGGATATTGGAGTAGACTCAAGAGGATTCAGACAGGAAAGGAGAAATTGGTAGAGTTCAGGAAGAGCTTTGATGAGGCGAGATGACTAGGCCTATCTCTACAAGACTGTGGAGATTCCTCAGAGATCAGATCTAAGGAGAGTAGTACTACTCTACTACTGCTTATATACTCATAGGGCATGGTCTGTGCACATGGAAGCATAATCAAAAAATTACCTCAATTAGGGCCACCTTTACTGATTCATGCAAGTTGGCATCCATTGGTCCTTGTGTCAGGTATTTGGAGCTGGCTCAGTGTGGAGACCCTAGCCTGTGTTGTCAAAGTCCAATGGTCACCAGGTGGATCAAATCAAGCTCAAATGTTCCAAATGTGCAGTCAAAACTTGGAGTCCCCTGACATGGGCCAACAAGATGTATTACCACAAATTTTGCTTAAGGCAAAATTCAGAACCTATGAGCTTACAAAATATGACTAACACATGACTGGACTATACTAGCAATGACAAAACAACAATGAGCAGAAAACAGAAAAATTAGATGAAAGAAAAAAGAAAAAGAAAACTACTGCTACTCCTGAGTGCTTGCAAGCAGCTCCCAAATTTCCTCTGCAAAAGCAGCCATCTTTGCCATCTCCTCCTGTGCTTGTGCCAGGCATTCCTCCAAGGCATACATTCAGTGTTCTGCCATGCAAACTGGCCACTCAGGCAAGGCAATCTCTGCTAAGCCAAATTAGCATGTGTTAGCCACAATAAATGAAGTCCAAAAGAGACTCACCTGAAACACAGGGCCGCTTTGAAGATGGCCCAACTGACTCCTCATCCTCCCTCTCATGCTTCTCAGCCTTGACAGTGCCACTTGCAGCTTGGGTAATGCGCTTGGGCATGGCCTTCTTCTTTTTGGCCATTGGAGTGGGCATGCAGGACTCAGCTTCTTCAGTCTCTGGGTGGAAGAGTGCAACCTTTGGGGCAGCTGCATTTCTGTTGCATGCTAAGGCAATGAGTGAGTCAAGCAAAAATAAAAACCAGGAAAGGAAACACAGTGCACCTATATGTGCACTGCATGGTTTTTTCACCACCTTGCACACCAAACATGCCCCCTTTCCCAGCTGCTCCACTATGTCACAATTGTGGGTGAGTGCATTACCATCCAGGATGACATGCTTGCAACACATCTTGCACTTTCCAAAAATTGTCAGCACCTACTAGCAACATGAAAAGCAGGGGTGCAACTTACACAGTTTTCCTCCAAAAAGGACTCCACCACTGCATTATCCTTGGAGACCAACAGGAGAGTGACCAGCATCTCCTCCAAAAGCCAACCCTGTGATAAATCAGTCATCAGTTTCTCAGTTGCAGAATACAAAGGAAAAATGGACAACTTACAGCACATTGGGTGACTGCCTTGCTAGGCCTGCCACATCTGGTGCAAGTGGGGACTGTGGCCGCCACTTTATCCTTAGCAGGACTTGGCTCTGCCTTGATGGACTGCTCTTCTTCTGCCACAGTGGGGCTAGATGCAGTGGCAGAATGGTGTTTCTGGCACATGTCAGTAACATGGAAAAAGCAAACCCATTGGACAGGCATACCAAGAAGTCATCCAGGAGATTGTTGAATAACTCATTGGTGTCATCCTCCTCCTCCTCCTCCTCCTTCTCCTCCTCCTTCTCCTCCTCCTTCTCCTCCTCCTTCTCCTCCTCTGGCTTGGTCAGTTGCACCAGCTCCTCCCAATCATCCTCTGGCAGCAGGTTGAGCCAGATCTCTGGGAGCTTGGTGACCCAATGCCTTTCCATGCTATTCATGAGCAGCATCACCACATCCCAGATTGGTGCACCCTTTGCATATTTTGCAACTGAAAAATTTGGCTTGTCAACAGCAGAGACCATGATGTCAACAATCTTGATCATGTTGCTGAGGAGCTGGGCAACAGTTGGCAGCTTCAGGAGCAGCTTGAGCACCTTCTTCACAGGTGTGGTCAACATGTTTGAGTAAAGGTGGGGAGGTGAAGTTGAGCTTTGAGCAGACAAGAAAGGCAAAATTTGGTTTCATTTAAAAGCATGACCAGCCCTCAACAGAAAACAAAAATGTGCATGGGCCCTGCTAAGTGCTGATATCCGGAACAAAGTTTCAGCTTAGGCAGTGCAGATAAACACCACACCAGGCTTTGCAAAGCAATAAATTGGCCAATCAGGGTCTCAGGCATCACACAACTCAATGTGAAAAACATGGCCAGGGTCCTCCTTGCAGACTTAAGCAGTGCTGCAAGCCACTGCTTAGAGTCTTCATGTGCTGGCCAGCCACCCTTAGTGCCAAATTGTCAGGGCACCAGCTCATTGGTTGGTCAAGAGACATGACTAAGCCTTTATGACATGGAAGTAGCTGGTATACCTTGGCATGTGCTGGAACCTGCTGGAAGGATTGGATGGTCAGGTGACCTGCTGTGCATGGCTGTGCATGACCTCATATGACCTCATCCTTGGTCATATGACCTGATCACCTGACTAGGCTGAGTAAGCAAGATGTTCTAGCAGGTTCCACCACAGAGGTATAAATATAAGGCCTACTCTGCCTGGGGACTGTCTCTTCAGACTTGGTCTCTTAGGATCATCCACAGGTACCTATACTGTAGATAGGTCTTAGTCATCAGGTCTACTCCACTTCCTTGTTGCCTGCTTAGACTCTTGGCACTCTTAGGTGAGCAGACTTAGTCAGCCTGTGTTGCCCTAACACAAATGCACAGCAATGCCCTCTGATACACCCCTCACCAAATAGTCAACACCACCATTTTACCAGCACCCTGATATGTGGCCCAATGTCTTACCATGGAGAGCCTCACAATTGGTCCTTGATAACACTGCTCTTGCTTCATGACATATTCAGTGGTACCGCACCACATTCCTGACTGTGCATTGCATCACCTGCATCCCCACTGACTTGGGGAGTCAGTATCAA